AATTAGATTAAAAAGGAAAACGAGTAAAAATTAAAGGGAGTAAAAATTAAAATAGGAAAACTAGAATAAACAGAATAAAGGGTAAAAAAAATTAAAGGGGGAGGGAGAAAAAAATGGAGAGTAGAAAGAAAAAATCAAAAAACTTTTACAATAAGGTCGTAAATGTACAAATAAAATCGACAAACTTTAAACAAAAAAGCAGTTCAAACGGGCAACAGGTACAATCACACAAAAACGTGGAAATGTCAGCAGGGGTCCAAAAATTGACAAGTAATGACTCAAAAAAAAGCTGAGCGAAGACTGATTCAACATTGAGGAAGAGAGTTATTTATGGTGCAATGGAGCATCTCATTATGCTAAAGTGGGATAGTCCATTGCTTGGGCTTTGATTGGCTGCTGGTACCTGAGTGGAAGTATTTCTATATAAATACCAGCTTAATTTCAGTTAGTTTGCGGGGTTTGTATTAAGTTACAACCTGCTTTATTTTTGTCTGCCAGCTGGACGCTAGCTGGAACTCTTACGCCGGTAAGTGTCGTTTATTGTATTGTTATTCTACATCTCCTTCCCCCCCATCGCGTGTTGGTAGTGGCCTTTGGGGAGGGATTTGTTCCTTCAAACCTGGCTGGTTGTGTGGAAGTAGTCTGGACAATGCCCGAGGGGTTTTTGTCCGTGTTATTGTAGACGGCTGAGCAGTGGTTGATCCTGTTCACAGCGCCATGTCGAACAATACGTGATCAATATAATTCTACACCTGGTATATGGTTTTCAGACACTTCCTAATGGTGCCACATATTTCTCCCAGGCCAATATTAACAAGTAACCTTCCTGACAAATCAACCATGATGAGATTTAAACCCTAGTAACCACTCAATGGTCAGTCATTGTCTTTATTTTCATAATCTCCACTTCTTACCATCTTATCTTTGCAAGTGGTTGTAATTGATTTAATAAAGGTTTTTTTCTTAATGAATATATAGTTTAAGATTTTTTTATTATCTGGAAAAAAAGAGATAATTATTTTAAATATTATCTTAGGGGTTCACTTTCTTTTGCACAGCACTGTATATACATGCACAAGGTCTGATCAAAACATATCAGGATTGTTATAAAAAAGAAATTACAACACATATCAATTTTGCATTTAATCTCCTTTGTAATAGTCCACTGCTACCTTCTTGCATTTTCTTGCATTTATTTGAAATCTTGAAATCTTGCTCCTTTCAAGTGGGAGTTTATTTTTTAGGAGGAAAAAGTTGCAAGGGGCAAAATCTGAGAATGTTCTGATTGGCCAAAAACTGATGGACAAGCCATGATCACTGATGGAATGTCCGTGGTATGCTGAGACAACCACACTCTACACACTTTCCTTCCAAGCACTGCTATAAAAAATGAATGTGAGTGAGAACATAACTTAGAATGTATGTGTGACAGACTTTAAAGTCCATCTGTGCCAAGTGGCTTGACTGTGTACTTTAGCTCTGTTAGCATAGCAACAGTCCCAATACATTTTGATCAGACCTTGTGTATGTATATAATATATAGTTGTTGAGCTCTGTGTAGTTGATTTACTGAACAAACCACCTGAGGAGACCATAGAGGTTGAAACTGTAGTAGCGTGCTCTGGTCAGCTTTCATCCTTTTCAAATATTAAACAGCTCTGCAAGTCTGGTCTTCCGACTTTGTATTGAGTACTTTTAATACATTCAGTTTTAACAAATACTTTACTATTTGTGTTACTCTGGCATATATATATATATATATATATATATATATATATATATATATATATTTCTGATACCACAGAACTTGTAAATAGTTTTAGATAAAACCACATTTTTCTCCAAAAAGGTGACCTTTTTGGGGGGCCAAAATCTCATCAGAAGAATCGTTAACAACTAGTAAAAAGTTAACGAGAATTTCAGAATGATAGATAAACTGGGAAATAACAAGGAACTCAAAGTACAATTTAATATTAAAAGGGGGTGGAATAAGAGGGGAAAATGGCAAAAACCAGAATATATAATTCCAGTGAATATAAAAAGGAAACTATAGACTCACAAGCCTCCCAGTAAAGAAAGAGAATTAATAAATTTCTCTTTCTGTCAGCACAAAGATGGTTGGTGTAATTTAATACATTCTGACTCTAAAGTGTACAGATGTTTTGCTAACCATGCTTTGCTCAAAATAGAAAACCATGAATCTGTGTATTTGTATGCACAATCTGGATTATCTAAAAGCCTATCGCTGAATCTTGTGCCATCTGTGTCAGATGTGTATTAAGGGTAATACTACCCTGTCTGATATTGCCAGATACATGTTGTGCAATATGCATTTTAACTTATCTCTAAAATTAAAAATGGATAATTTATTTTATCTTTTCTTTTAATATAAAATTTTTAAAAAAATATTACTTAATATAAATTATCTGAGTATGATTGACTGTTAATCTCGTTATATCTCATTTGTAGGTGAATTTGGTATTTTTTAAGTGGAAATCAAATTTTTTTTTATATACAATTAGAAATTTTTTATATATATAAAACTCCCTTTTTGGCCCTCCTTTAGTTTCAGTTCAACACTTTATTCTTCATAGAACCCTAACTTAGGGTCATAAGGTTAATATCTGGGTTGAATTTGTTGTGCCTCTTTCCTTTAAGATAGATACTTTCTGCCCTCCCCTTGCCACTGACTCAGGCATTTCATCTGACTGAGGCATCGATATGGGTAGGTTCTGTATCAATTTTTCAACTGTTGTCAAAGTTAAATTTTAAATCTCTAAGTCTGACACGAAAACAGTCCATCTACCAGGGTTGAATAAGACTAATGTTCTTGTTGGTTAAAATAGATCTATACCCATATGATTTTCTTGCGTAAATTAATATATACATAAAATGTGTGTGTGTGTGCGTGTACACACCAATGTATTCATTATTTACATTGTTTGGAATGTTGGCAATAAAGATGAGGACAACAAAGTAAATCATGTAAAAAATTCCAATACCTCATCTCAGAGATATAGACAAATGATGTATTCATTTCATCAAGTTCTAATATCCTGAGTATGACAAACTATATCTGTGTCCTGGGTAAGACTATAAACTATGTCCAACAGCAAGGCCTCTGATCAGGAGGTTTTGAGGAGCTCTTAATTGCTGGTGTTCCTAGGTCCACCCTGACCCAGGAAGGTAGCACCTGTTAGGATCCCAGCTATGGGCAAATTGTTAACACCCCAAACTTATGTAAAAATAGGTTTTAATACCAGAAATACTTTGTAAAAAAAAAAAAAAGAAAATTACCAGCAATAATTTTTGAAGGAAAAATTATTATGAGTAATAATTAAAATTTACAGTGAAACATATAGTGTGTGTGTGTGTGTGTGTGTAGATTTTGATCTAGGATGAACAAAATATTACCAAATGTGTAATTTAAAAAAAAAAACAAACTTTATGAAAATAAAACCATCCAAGATTGTAGATTTCCTAAAAGTTGAATTGTGCTAAAAAATATGAGTAATTGAAAAATGGTTTATATATATATATATATATATATATATACATACACACACACACACCTTTTTTACCAAACTATTGTTACGTGTTGGAAATTGTAACAAAGAAAAAAAATTGATTTACCAAAACACTGAGCTAAATCACAAACAAATATTTAATTTACTAAAACACAACATAAAATATATACAAGATAAACAATTGTGGCTTAGAAAACACAGTTACAGGCGAAGTGTTACGAGGAAGGTGAGTCAAGTATCATTACCACTTTAGAGCTAGCGAAGTAATCTAATTGCTAATAACTGGAAATCCGTAAATGTGAGAATATATTGAATAATTGGTAGTTTGGTCAATGAAAATAGTCAAAACTATTTACCAGATTTGTTCCATGTGGTTCTCTTTTGGGGTTTTTGTTGGTTGGCAACTTTTCATAGAGATTCTTTCGGATGGATATAATAATCCTCGAATCAAAAAACTGGAGTTGATACTGGCAGAAATTTCTTTTCACGACTGACAACACTTTTCCAAAAACCTATTTTTATAGGGGCTAGCACCTAATTAGCATATTTCTAGATGTTTCTTGAATCATCTAGTTTTTTCTCGAATATACTAGAATGATCTAGAATCTTCCAAACATTCTATTTCTAATTTCTCAATTTTACAACTACTTCATGAATGAAAACTTTTTGTATTAACAAGTAGGACTCAGTAGAATCTGTTACTATAGAAATGCATCCTCGTAACACTATTGCTATGAATCTATTTCAAAAATTTTGTTGGTATTAAATGGCCCACTGAGGTTTTGATATGCCATAAAACAAAACAACCAACCAATCATCAAGTTCTACATTGATCTTAAACACTGAATTGGTTAAAAGCATAATAATTTACAAAAATTACAAAGTCAACTAATACAAACAAAAACAGAAGATTTGTGAAAGTAAAAGAAAACATAAGTAATAATCAAGATTTAAGTGATCTAAACTGCAATAAAGAATTTTAGGAATATAAAGCACAAGTGTTATGGGATCTTACCCATAATAATGGACTATTCCATACTTAATAAATACTGTGCATCAGGAGCAGGCAAGGAGTCAGTAGTTCGAGTCGAGTCAGTCCGAAACAGTCGCATTCAGACGATTACTGCAAGACATTGGAATAGTCATACTGGTCGAGACTACATTGTTCTCTCTACTAAACCTGATTGTTCGTACTAACACTTTCTACTTCTCTGTATATATTCCTGTTTGTAATATATCTGTGTTATTCCATATATGTGTTCGAGTTCTTCTTTATTGGTTTTACCTTAGACTATCACCGTGGTACAAGGAACTGGACGATAACAACAAGTAAATAAAAAAAAAACAAAATAAAAAAAAATATAAATTTTAAATATGTATGGTCACTTTTCCAACTGAATTCAGGAAATAAATCATTTTCCTTTTCTGTTACTGATATTTGATTTTGGTTTAAATGTTATTGCAACTTCTTACCTGATATCATTAATTGCTCCAGACCTGTCTCTTTTACGTCCCCACAGCTTTAGGCCATCTGTGGTAAGAATAAGGAATTCTCCATTCTTCAAACCAACAGCAATAAGATCTCCATCACAACTGAAGTTAACAGAGCAAGCAGGTCCAACTGACAACTTGCATAGTAGGCTCTACAAAGAGGAAACTCTTTTTTTAATTATTTCAAATAGAATAAAATATCTTTGAAATCTAAGCTTTTAAGAATCTGTTATTAACTTGGCATCATAGATTTCATGATTTCAGTCCTAAATTCTGCATGAAAGTCCACTGTTTAGTGTGTAAACATAAAATAAGGTATCAGTTTTATGTGGGTTTCTTACTTGCTTTCAATGGTCATTTTAGTGATTATTAAAATCAGATTGCAAACACCAAATTTACTCTTGAAACTAAAAGAAAGATCCCAGTTTTATTTAATTTCTTGCAATTAAAGTAATGTCTTGATAAATTAGGTTATTAAAATACTAAATTTATGTTTCTCTCCAGAGGCTATCTTACATATAAATATGCTATTCGTCCATGTTTAGAATATTGCTGCCACATATGGTCCAGAGCTCCTGCTATCTATCTAGAGCTCCTTGATAAAATCCAAAGAAGAATCAGCAATATTATTGGTCCTGATCAGGCAGCTTGGCTTCAGTCCCTTTCCCACTGCCATAAGGTTGCCTCTTCTATAAATGCTTTCAGGGTAATTGTTTGGATGAGCTCTTCAAAATTTAAGTGCAGTACTAGACAACAAGGTCTCGCCAATTTACAGTAACGCTGGCTAGATGTATCCATAAATTCTATGCTGACAGATTCTTTTGCCCTTATTTCTTGCTTGTGGAATTCCCTTCTGGCTTCTTGCTTTCCAGTCAACTTTAATTTGCCAAAATTTAAATGCAATGACTATCTGCTGTCCTCATGATTGCTCTTCCTCTGTCCTTGCTCCCTAGCAACATTCTTGTTTCTATTTCCTCCCTTCTCGATTCCATCCAACTACACTAATATTATGCAAAGTTGCTAATGACCCAATTTCTTGTGGGATAACAAAGAAAGGTTTCTTTTGATGGAATGGTGCACTTGTCTTCTCTCAAATTGAAGTCCTACATGCCAGACAAAGATGGCCTCTCTTTCGTCAAGAATAAGGCAAGTCTTGGTCACCATTTCTGCCATTTGACTCTGGTTCTGGTTCACTATGTCTGCTACACATTCCACTCAAACTACTAAATTTGAATGAACCCTATGTTCTTATTACAAATCGTCAATTGAATTCAGATCCGGATTCTTGGTTTGGTTTGTTGACCCCAGTTTGGGGGTTAACTATTTGCCCATGGATGGGACTAACAGATGCTATCAACCTGAGTCAGGGTGGACCTAGGAACACCAGCAATATGACCAGTGTGTATCAAGTTTTCTAAGCACTCTTTCCTCATTATGTGTTCCAGAAACTTCAATCATATTTTTCTAAATATAAATATCCTTTTTGTTGCCATTTTCCCTAAAACTTATTGTTCACATGTTCACTTTTGTGGCAATAACACACAATTAAGAAAATATGTATATATCTTCAAAACTGTTTATATAGGATGTCAGTGACTTTAAGAAGAGTAATTAACATAGCCAACATTGGTGAAAGTTCTTTGTATATTTGCTGCTGTTAACACTATAACTGTAAAGAAATATTAACATATCCAACACTGTTTGGATAGGTGAATTGCTTCTTTGTCTAATTACCCCTGATGAAAACTGAACAATTATTCTGTGCAGTGTCCCTTCAGGACATAAGCAATCATGGCTCTCAACAATTTTTTATCCCTTGTAGCTCTAAATAATTTTGTTTTTTGTTATTTCTCCTAATCTTTGCTCTATTCATTTAGGCAAGTTATGCAAAGTTTTCCTCTCTCCCTCTTACCTTTAATCAGGCTCTGTGAGTATCAAATTTTCCAAGCCCTCATTCCTTATTATATATCCTAGAAATTTCAACTGTCTCTTTATTATGTTAAGTATAATTGTCCTTTTTGTTTCAATTGCTCACATGTTTGGTCCATAGTATTCTCAGAATCCTTCTGTAGAACTTCATTTCCATTACTTCAAGTTTCTTCATCTGCAAGGCGATTGCCCAGTATTCACTGCCATACAGGAGGACTGATATTATATAACAGTTCTGTATTCTTTTCTTGGTTTCAAATGAAATTTTTCTCTTAATACTTTGCTTAGCTTTTAGAAGGCATTTTTTGCTATCTCAGTGCACCTTTGAATTTCAGTTCCACACATTCTGTCCTTTAAGTTTGATATCTCCAGTTTTAATTTGCATGTTAGGCTGTTTCTTTTGCTAGCAATCATGAATAATGTCTTCTTGTAATTTAGTCCTTTTTTTCATTTTCCTTCACTACTTTCTGTAGGTGTTCTTGCAGTTTCCTTTCTATGTCTGCTCTCAATGTTGTGTCCTCTCATGTTATTAAGATTGTGGCCACCACTAATTAATCCTGGTAGGACTTCTAGTTCTCTTAGCATCACCTAGTTTGGCTGACATGTCATATTAGCAACAGCTAACACTATAAATTTGCAAAGGACCATTAATATATCTAACATTGTTTGGATACTTTAGTTTTCTTCTTTATATATCAGGTCATCCCATAAGTTCTGTCTGAATTTTACCTTTTTTTAAAAATGAATGAAATTTAATGAGTATTTTATAATGTCTAATGGAGCTGAATATTATTTTTATGTTTAGATGTTTTTTAAACTGATCAAATTTTATTTCAGAGAACAATAAAAGTAAATTTTGTTTGATTAAAACCCTGCTAACATGGAAGTACCCAAGAATCATTTGAGGCACATAATGCTTTATGAGTTCAAGAAAGGAAACTCAGCAGCCGAAGCGGCTAGAAACATTCACTCAGTTTATGGAGAGGAATGTGTGAATGAAAGAACTTGCAGAAGATGGTTTGCAAAATTCAGAGGTGGAGATTTCACCCTTGAAGATGATGATCGAACCGGACGTCCAGTTGAGTTTGATGAAAAGCTTCTTGAAGCAGCCCTTGAAGAAAATCCTGCTTTATCAGTTGAGGAATTGGTAGTTGTTCTCAGTTCAAACCATACAACTGTTCATAGTCATCTTCAACAACTTGGAAAAATTCCTAAACTTGGAAAATGGGTGCCTCATGAATCGTCTGAAAACAACCTCAAATCCCGAGTTGACATCTGCTCTTCTCTCCATTCTTGCCAACTTGTTTCACCTTTTTTGGATAGACTTGTGATGAAAAATGGATCTTTTATTGAAATGTTAAGCGTCGTAGACAGTGGCTTGGTAAAGGGGAAGGACCCCAGCCACAGCAGAGAAGAGAACTTCATGGGCAAAAGGTACTTCTTTCAATCTGGTGGGGTCGCCAAAGAATAATCCACTTTTTCTTACCACCTAATGCTCAAATATACTGTCAGCAATTAGAGCATTTGAACCAAGCTTTGAGGAAAAAAAAGACCTGCTCTAGTGAATCAAAAAAGGTGATGTTTCATCAGGACAATGTGTGACCCTACACAGCAAGAATCACCTCACAAAAGATCGAAGAACTTGGTTGGGAGAAAATTCCTCATCCACTTTATTCTCCCGATCTTGCTCCTTCAGACTACCATTTCTTTCATAGCTTACAGAATCATTTGGAAGAAACAGCTTTTGTAACACAGGAAGAGGTTAAAACTGACATTTGTGAATTCTTTGAATCAAAGCCAAAAGAATTCTACAGTAATGGAATTAGTAAGCTTGTTAATAGATGGAAGGAAGTCATAGATAATTAGAGAAAATACTTTGTTGATTGAATCTAATTAAATGTAACATTTGGTCACTGTCGCAAAATTCGGTCCAAACAATAGGACGGGAACGGGTTGGCCCGGCACCGCCTACTTCCGGAAACACTCCTCAGCTTCACGACAGCTACAATCCAGCTACAAAAAACTCCACAGATCTTTGCACTCAAATGTTCCAACACCGCCTCGTAGTTCGCTACACACAACTCTCTCGAGTGGTCTCCCGCCGTCACATTTATCCCAGCGAACACCAACCAATTTGCATACGCCCAAGTTCTCCTCTCGCCAATCCTCGCGGCTACGAGATCGCATTTCCATAAGTTCGACTCACCGTAATGGTGGTGTTTCTTTCTTCGGACCAATTACTGCCCTACACGCCAGACACAAACGAACTCTCTTATGCCGAGAACTGAGGTTAGTCTCATTTTCATGTCCACACTCCACCCTGGTCTCAAGATCACAAATGTGGCATTGCGGATGCGGTCGTTTGTTGCGGGCACTCCTACGAAGAGGGATTGTCTGGACTTCTTCATCGGGACTCTCAGAAGGGGCGTCAGAACTATCAGCATCAGCGTCGGGATCCGCAGTCAAACCATCAGGCCCGAGGGGCATAGGTCGGATCCACAGTTCATCGCTGGATGATTCACCACTGCTGCTACTAGTCAACTGGTTCGTATTTAGGGCGGGCGGACATCCTTCACATGGCGTGGAGTACCATCGACCAGCACTGCTTGCTCATTGACGATGCCGGTGATTCGTTTTCTTTGAAAGCTGGTGGTGCACCGGCTATTGGGAGGCTTCACCCAGACGGTGTCCCCTACCTTATACGGCCCTCGTGTTTCCCGCCGATCAGGCAGACACGCGTCAATGCCCTTGTTGCGCACTTGGTAGCGATGGATTGCATTGGCGGGTGCGCTTGCAGCAGTCATGGCATCCTTTGGTGTTGCATTGTATCTATAGACCACCTCCGCTATCATGCACTGCTTCCTGGCCGCGATCCTCTTCACGCTTCGGTGGCACCGCTCTGCTATGCCGTTGCCACTCGGCACATATGCACAGCGGTGTCTGAGCCGGATCCCCACTCGTCTACGTAAACATCTAAACTCCCCGCTGCAGAAGGCCGTGTCGTTATCCGTAAGGATCTCTTCAGGCGGCCCCTTTCATAAAATATGGACTCAATTCTCGGATGACACTGGATGAGTCCTGTCTTACTAATGGGCGCCAGATTGCGAACCTCGTCGGTCCGCAATCTATCAGTGTGAGGAAATGCTGGCTGCCGTAATGGGTTATGTCCATACCCAGTCGGCCCCAAGTCGTGTCTACCCCCCAGCCGACCCTTCCGCCATTTAGCTGGGGCGGGGTCGATTGACTGGCATGTTTGGCATTCCTTCACCACCGCTCTGACTTCACTTTTTGGACACTGACGGATTTGTCAACTGTACAAAATAGCATGTCCGTCTCACTCCGGGGTGCCCACTGTTGTGGTGTATCTCCTTGATTTTGTCCGCCGCCTTAACAGAGGCAGCACATAGTAACGGTACTGGCTCAGTTTCTTTCTTCATGGCGCCATACCATCTCTGTGGCACACGAGTGAGCCTATCAGCAAGGTTGCAGTTTGAGGTGACAAGCACCGCATCCATAGATAGGTTGTACTCTGTTACCAGCTTTCTTATGGTCTCCAACCTCCGTCTGATCAGCATCTCGCTAGCCGCCTTTGGTACGCACCCCTGGCCTTGCCTGTCAGTGTGTCCGATATCCAGTGGTACACACATAACGAATCAGTGTGTATGTGTAATTTCTTAACTTTCCACTGGAGTGCCAGGTTGATGCCTTTTATCACCGCATCGAGCTCTGCCAGGTTGATATGAGCAGCGTCATTCACCGGTCGCAACCAGCAGGCGTCCTCAATCGCAGCCCCATTCTTCTCCAACAGCACACCAATCGCCAGAGAGCTCGCATCCACCCACACGTTCAATTCGTCTCCCTGCACGCACCAGTCTCCTTTGGCGGGTCATCCTGCTTTACTCTTGCAATGGTCTCCTTCACCATGCGAACCAACAGATCGTCCGTTGTTTCATCGTCCCAGCCTTTGGTGACTGCGCTTGCCCTTCTTTTTATGGTGCCTGTTGCCACACGAGTCCATCCACACACTGGTAGATGCCCCACAAGTCTTCCACACAGGGAGAATATAGCTCGCCTCGTGAAGACATCGGGTACTTCAGGAACTGCAGTTCCGCGCCCCCATTTTAAGGTCTCTCGCTCCTGTTGAACGTTCAGGCCCAAGACACGGGCACCATCCTCCAAACGTTCTGGGTCCTTACAAGTCAGACCAAACTCAGCCAGTTTGGACCTCAAGCGTGATGACGACACAACGTCTTCGTTCACATATATATCATCAAGGTACGCCGATGTCCCCTCTTTTATTGTTTCTTCCTGTGACAACACAGCGTTGACGATGGTCTTCATTATTTGGGGTGCCACGTTCAGCCCGAAGCCCAGCCTAGTAAGGCAGTACCTCCTGCCGGCAAACACCACCGTCTGAAATGGCCACATCGCCTCACTGACCCGGACCTGCAGGTACGCTTTTCTTAGATCCAGCAGGGACACATTGGAACCCTGCTGGCGCCATTCTCGTAGCTTGCTGGCACAAACGTCAGCATCTGCCGTGAACGCATCAACATGCGCGTTTAGTTCGCGGTAGTCCATCAATGGCCTCACCTTTGCTTTGTTGTGCTGAGCAACCGCCATCAGCGGGATCAGGCCTTTGGGAGGTCCAAGTTTCTCATAGGGTAAGGGAATCAACCAGCCATCCTTGATCCATTCACGGAGCTCCCCTTCGTATGCAGGCCTTATTTGATCGGGCACATGGTACTCGGCTACCTCATTCCGCAGTTTGGCTGGTTCCTGGTTTTCCGACCACCTCCATGAGGTGGTCCAAGTCTTCTGCTGCTGGTCAAATTCGACACTAAAGTCCGGCTGGTCGATCCTCAGAGCTGCACACACTGGGGCCCTCTCCTGAAACTGTACTGCCCCCGTCTGCGTTATGTGAACACCACCTAAAGCTCTGATGGCATCATAGCCAGAAGCAGGTCAAAACTCAGTGGTTTTTCGAACACTACTAGCGCCTCGACGTTGGCCGAGTTTCCAGTTCTTGTACGGATGTTGTTCGCGCCTACCCCCGCAACACCTTCGTGTTTCTCCACTGATGGTGGTCACCCTGACACTCTTCTTCTTCCAAGTGCGGTAGAGGTCCGCGCACACTATGGTGCGGGAGCAACCGGAATCGAGAAGTGCTGAGCACAATGTCTCATTAATGTAGACCTGGATGATCGGAAGCGCCTCATCTAATTTCTGCTTTGGGGAAGAGGTCGACGCTGGCACCTTGTCCCCGGCCCCGCTTTCCCACAATCCCGGACCAAATGTCCAGTCTCATTACACCGGTAGCAGCGAACAGCTGTCAGTCGCCTCCTGCAGTTCCTCGCAATGTGGCCCTGGCCACTGCACCTATAACATACGACCCCACTACGGGGCTGGGCCCTGAACGGTCTATCATCACCGGCGTGGACTGTGCAGCGGCGACTACCGGTTCTCTCACCTCAGAGCTGTCTTTCATCACGGTCCTGGCCCGGTCTACCAGGTCATTAAGGGACAACGAGTCTATGCTTAAGCTCACTCGCAGGAGTTGCTTTGCTCCGGTTGGGAGCCCTGCCAGAAATTTGTATGCCAAGGCACGCTCGGGCAGTCCACCGAACAACACCGTCAACTTCGTCAGCTCGGCCAGATACACGTCGACAGTTTCGCCTGGAAGTAAAGTTCTTGCCTCGAATTGTTCCCATGCAGTGGCGGGGTCGATAGCAAACGCCTTGTATAGTGCTGCCTTGATTCTCTTATAATCTTGTTTTTCCTCAGCACTGAGCTGTTGATACACAGCTTAAAGCCCCGCCAGACAGCCGCAGAGGAATAACATGTTCAATGTTCTTTATGCCAGACAAGAGGCAATGTAATTCCACTTTTTCCACCCAGTCAAGTACCGGGGTTGAGCCATCGAACTCCGGAATCAATTTCAGGTCGAATCTGTCCCCCATTATGCCGAAATAGCTTGTCGCAAAATTCGGTCCAAACAATAGGAAGGGAACAGGTTGGTCTCGTAAAATTAGGTCCAAACAATAGGACGGAACGGGTTGGCCCGGCACCGCCTACTTCCGAAAACTCCTCAGCTTAACGACAGCTACAATCCAGCTACAACAACTCCACAGATCTTTGCACTCAAATGTTCCAACACCGCCTCGTAGTTCGCTACACACAACTCTCTCGAGTGGTCTCCGCCCGTCACATTTATCCCAGCGAACACCAACCAATTTGCATACGCCCAAGTTCTCCTCTCGCCAATCCTCGCGGCTACGAGATCGCATTTCCATAAGTTCGACTCACCGTAATGGTGGTGTTTCTTTCTTCGGACCAATTACTGCCCTACACGCCAGACACAAACGAACTCTCTTATGCCGAGAACTGAGGTTAGTCTCATTTTCATGTCCACAGTCACTTGTTTTCTTTATTCAAAATTCGGACAGAACTTATGGGATGACCTGATAGTTGTTTAACAACAGCAATTAGACAGATTCAAGAGGAAATGTTGGATAATTACATAAAGTCAGTTAATAAAACACTGACTACTTCCCAAAAGTTACATTCAAAATTTGTTTTAAAATTCCCTGATAGATGACATTTAACTATAATGAAAACTTAGTTCATGATAATTTTTCTTTGTTTCATTAGTAAACCAGTTTATAATAGGCAGGAAAGAAAGACATATTTTATCTTCAAATTACAAGAGTAACAGGAAATTCTTTACCTTCATGGAGAGATCCCATAAGCGAACAGTACCATCTAGGCTAGCTGTAACAAAAGAAATGCCTTTAGGGTGGACATCAAGACCCCATACTTCTCCTTCTCCATGACTTTGGAGGATCACTTTGGCACCACCAGATTTTTCTGCAATCTCAAATATTGTGTTTGAAATTGTTCCAACTAAGATTTTACCCTGAAAAACAAATGGCAACTAATATAGAAACAACTTATTACAACAGACATATTTTGAGTCTACATGTTTTTTTATTTTTGTTTTCTTTAACAGTGAAACCAGCCGAGATCGAGAAATCCTTCCAAAGAAAAATGTGCCGCCTGATAGGAATTAAGCCTGTATTCTCTTTTCCATGAGGAAAAAAGCAAGACCCAATTACCTAATTTAGGAATGTCTATATAAATTGTACTTTTCAACCAATAAAATCCCATCTTGTGGACATAATTGTAGAACTCCCACATGTTATTTTTGGACCAATCGGACATCAGATGGTAATGTGTATTCATAATTGTTTATGTGCATGAACACACATTACCATCCAATGCCTGCCTAGACATACTAGAATTTTTACAAACTTACATACATATAGAATTATCTACAGTTTTAATGCATGTGATACATGGCTGACCAATGTGAAATGATCCCAAAAATATTGGAAATAACAAAATTTATGACTTTTTGCCTCTTTTCTCTCAATCTCTGATGAAGCTTTAAGAAAAGGGAAACATGTTAGACTGATATCAGTCTAAATTTAAATTTGAAATATTGTCTTTTGCAATACATTGAAAATATTTCAGATAGAATAGAAAAAAAAAAAAACATTCGCAAAATTTGCAGAAAATAATTAAAGCCATGCTAGATTTCTTTCTTAAAAATAACATTTCTATATTACAAAATATGTAACTGGATCTATAAAATATTTAATTATTTGTAATAAAATGCATAAGATACAAATTAATTCAAACTTAATTAAGATATGTATTAATTAAAAAAAAAATAATGTTGGCTTAATTTCAGGGTTATTAATTATTTACTGATTTTTTCTATCTCTCACTATTCATAAAATTTTCTTTTCTATTTTGGTATCAATCACAAACTGCACAAAAAACAGATCACTACTATAGGGGCACAAAAGTGAAAACATTACAACTCCTCCTACTAAACAGACACATATAGACAATTAAGAATACATATTACCATCTGATGCCCGCTTAGACATATTAGAATTTTTACAAACACATTCATATACAATTACCTACGGTTTTAATGCACATTGATACATGACTGACCAATGAGAATCAATGCCAAAAATATTGGAAATATCAAAAGTTATGACTTTTTGCTCTTTTCTCTCAATCTCTGATGGAGCTTTAAGAAAAGAGAAACATGTTAAACTGATACCAGTCTAAATTTAAATATGGTCTTTTGTAATAAATTGAAGTTATTTCGGATGGAATAGAAAAAATAAAACATAAGGACATTCACAATATTTGCTGAAAATAATTAAGGCTATAGTAGGTTTCTTTCTTTCTTTAAAATAACATTTATTTCTATATTAATTAATTCCTGATTTTTTTTTTTTTATCTCAATATTCATAAAATTTTCTTTTCTATTTTGGTATCAATACCAACTACACCAAAAAAAAACAGATCTCTACTATTGGTGTACAAAAGTGAAAACATTACAACTCCTACTAAACAGACACATATAGACAATTACGAATACACATTACCATCCAATGTCCACTTAGACATATTAGAATTTTTACAAACTTACATACATATAGAATTATCTACAGTTTTAATGCATGTGATACATGGCTGACCAACCAACGAGAACTGATCCAAACAAAATTGAAAGTACCAGAGTTTCTGTATTTCGTCTGTTTTCTCTCAATCTCTGATGAAGCTTTAATAAAAGTGAAACATGTTAGATTGATATATGCTTCCAATTTGATCTGCATTTTATCCATTTTTACTGGTTAGGAAGAAATCCCAGCATGCACTTGTAAGATTTGTCTAAATTTGAGGAGGGGATGTTTTTAGCAATCTGTTGTAATGGAATATCCCCCACTCCCTATCGCCTATGTGAACTGACTATATCAGTAGTTATATATAGGTATTCATGGCATATGTAATAGAGAAAGATGGCTTTACTTTAACTTGAAAATCTATAATAATAGTGATCACTGGGTTTATGTATAGGTTTGTTTACTTCTATTTTATTCCTCATTTAGAATTTAAAGAGGAAGAAAGTATTTAACAAGTTTAAGTATAGCACAAATCCACTATAAAGTGAAAATTCATGAAAACCTTAACTCACCACACCTGCTAATGGTCTGCCAGACTAGCTTGCTAATCAGTCAAAAATAACCACCATTTTTTGTATACAAAGGAAATGCAATGAACTCATCAAAGAGCAGACTGCTGAAATATGGCCAACAACTGTTCCAAAAGAAAACAAATAAAAATTGCAATGAAGCAATTTTCTTTGATATAATTACAACCATCAAGAAATGAAAACCCAGTAACAGGCCATCTAATAAATTCATTTCAAGAGGAATTTTTGATTCTTTGAGTCATAAGAAAAATCTCCAGAAAGCTTTTTCTCTTTCTAAATTCATAGCAAAGCAGTTTTTCTAAAGTTTGCTACAAAGAACAGAAATGAATTAAGGTTTTGTTCTGAACAGATTCAATAAGAGTCTTACTGTGACACTTCTGTTTAGACATTTTAAATACTTTAGTTTCAAGCAATTAAATTGGATATCTATGAGAAGTTTTATGGAAATTTTATATACAACATAAAATAGCTTCTATAAAAATGTCATTCAAACTTTAATATATTCCAAGTTAAGTGAAATCTGAACTTTTTGTATTTCTGGCCACTTGTATTTGAATGTACCTATTTGCTAGGGTGGCTAACAAATCCCTGTTGCAGACGCCTACTCAGGCACATTTATATTTTTTCAATACCCACAGAACCCATCCATGGTTTATACTGAAAACTATGCTGACCAGACCTGAGTAACATTTTCTAGCAGTGACTGCATTATCTTGGTTAATTTTAACCTCTTCATGTCTAGGGTCAACTATTATCTATCCTATATATCCTTATAATCTGCACTTCTTACTTCTTTAAAACAGCCTTCTTCAATAACCCTCTACACTGAGTGGCTTTTGGGGCTTGTGTTAGGTGAACGATAGTATATTTTTAAAAATGTCAGGTGAAAAGGATGAAAAGTTATACATTATTTCCTCAACCAAAATCAAAATTTATCTCTAAAAATCCTTACACTTTGAACACTGACCACCAGATGAGTACAATTCTTCGACCCTGAACCCCTGCTGTCCATCTCAAAGCTGCTCACTAGAAATGCCAATGACTCTGGCTAGTATATCAGCTGCTTGCATATATACATTTTCCCACAGCATTCTGTATACTGGCTGCTCATGTTAAAAGGGTTAAGATAAAGTTTGTTTACATAAAGATCTATACATACAATTGGATTGGGGTGGTCTCTTATGCATAATCCTTTCTGAGGAAACACTTTCCAAAAAGAAAAAAATTCTCAGTGTACTCTTATTTTTATATAGATATATTTGCCAGTGATCTTATAGGTATATTTTAATATCACTTGCAGTAAGTTGGTTATCAGAATTCAGTCAAGTGAGTAGCTGACCATGTGTCTTATGGAACAAAGACCCTTAGGAATGTAGGTTAATGGTTAAGTCATACAAATTCATCATTGGTCACAAGGTAACAGATTGGTTTCCATATATTTTAAGGAAACTGACTAAGACCATTAGAGAGAGGAGACAAGAGAAGTCTATAAAAGCCACTCTCAAAAATTAAGATTGCAGAAAGAAAGACACTTGCTGAAGCACTTCTGTAACCAACAGCTAAAAGGAACTTTCTGGTATCTGTCTATATTTCTGAGATGAGGCATTATGTACACTATTTACATTATTCAGACTATTGTCCTCATCTTTGTCACCATGTTTATCACAACGTTTTGGCCATTGTATGCTTCAGCCTTCTTCAGGTGGTTGGAATGTCAAACTGAACCCTTTATTTTGTTCACTGGAGTAAACTGTTCTAGTTCCACGTGTCTGGTTCCCATATTGTATTCATTTCTATGCTTGGTCAGCTCAGGAGATTTTTGTGGCCTAGCATATGTGCTGATTCCTTAAGTTTATGAATTTTCCAACGATGTTCTTTGTCTATGATCTCAACTTGATTGCACAGAAGGCAGAGATCTCCCATTTCTCTCCATATGTGGTCAGCCACGCCTGATTTTTCCACTTCCCCATGTTACACCTTTCTGGTGTTCTTAAGGTAAGGCTTCAAGAACCAGTAATAAGGAGTGCCAGAGAAAAGTGATAACAGCAAAAATTGCAATACGAGTCCTGATAAAAAATGGTTGCTGAAGACATTAGGTTTATAATACCCAGAAATTCATACACATATGTCCTTAAGGACACATGGCACAATGGATAAAGGCATTCCAGTGACAGGACCCAAAGAGTGTGAGTTCAATACCTGGTTAAGGCAGTGGAGAACTTTCAGAGTGGAATTAACAGGAGATAACTGACATCCATTAGACATGGCATGTGGAATTAGAACAGTCTATCCCAGTAAGTGAAATAAAGCGTTCAGTTCAACATTCCAACCACCTGAAGAAGGCCGGAGCCTACAACAGCCAAAACATTGTGATAAACATGACAATAGTCCGAATAATGTAAATAGGAACTTTTTGTTAAAATCTTAGTATTCTTTTTCATTATTTAAAGTCTTCACTTAATCTCAGGAATATGCCAGCTTTGGTTTTGTATGACATGTGGCTAGCATGGGTTTGTTTCAACCCTGAGCTTAGTATCTAAATACAACATGGATGTTGAAGTCAACATCAAACTAATGACTAGAATACATGCCCATCAATCACCTATAGTATTACATTTGGTTGCCATGTTCAGAATTGTCTCAGTCACAGTGTTACAATTGATAGGATAATGTCCAGTTCAATATCACTTCCTGAAAGCAAAATTGCATCCCTTGTTGCATAAAATTAATTTCTATAAACAAATGTTGAAAGCAATCAATATTTGATTAACAAAAAAGTATCTAGAGTGTTTCTTTTTGTTTAAGTCTGAAGGCCGAGTCAGCTAAGGCGACTTGAGAATTATATCTAATACTTCAGTATACTCTCAAATGGAGACCAGTAAAATATATCGTGTTAATTTGATTATTTTCAACAATAGAAAGTTAAAATTCAATTTTTAAATCAGACCAAAATATTTACTAAGTCACATAAAATCATTCTCTTGTTTGATGAGATTCATTTCTAATCAGGCTGTCAAGAAAAATCTAAAGATAAAAATATACATTGAAGCATTTTGGGTTTAATCAGTCTTACCTTTGACCTACATACTGATTTAACAACATTTGTTTTCATCCCACCATCAAGAAGTGGGTATGCTCGACATCTTTTCATTTCCTGATCCCATAATTTTACAGGACCATTGTCTGTTGACCTGAAAGGGGGTGAAAAATATAACACATGGAAGTTAGATAGTGAAAAAAATTTTGTACTGAGATTGCTAGATATGAAAAGATATATATATTATATTAGTGAGAGGAGGAGACTTTGAACAGATTAAAAAGAGTAAAAATGGGAAACAAGAATGAACAGAGAGAGAGAGAGTGTGAGAGAATGAAGAGTGAGAAGGATTTTGATTAATTAATGGCATATCAATTCCTTATGAGTCATTTAATGCCAAAATTTAATTTTCTCTGGTGCTTTAAAGTAATAAAAATATGTTATTCTGCTTTTACAACTGAATGCAGGGTAGATGATTGGTTGGTTCATTTGGCAACTGAATACAGGGTAGATGATTGGCTGGTTCATTTTGTTTAACAGCAAATCAATCTCTATTGGTTATTTAATGCTGAAATCTAAATATTTTGAATGCAATTGTATGCCTCCACCTACAGATAAAATGTATTGTTGGTCATTTTGCAATAAAATGTATTACATGGTTCAGTTTGAAATTCCAATCACCTGAAGAAAGCCAGAGTGTATAACAGCGGAGATGTTACAAATATAGCAACAAAGATGAGGACAACAGTCTGAACAATGTAAATAGTGTAACTAATAAAATGTATTGTTGGTAATTTTACTACATGTATTGTTGGTATTTTTTAATAAGGCAACTGGATATGTCGATTGACATTACACTTGAATAGCTGGAGATTATAGCACACAGGGAAACAGAAGAAGGGAAGGGAGTTCCACAGGCGAGAGGTGCGAGACATGAAGCTATTAGAGTAGAAGAGATGGCTACATTTAGGAGTTTCGACAGTGAAGGGGTGAGAGCGGGAAGCCAACCTCGTAGGGCGCTGGAACTCATGACATCTGGGAACCAGTGAATGCAGCTCCTCGGAGCAATTTCCATGAAAGTATTTGTAGAACAGACAGAGGGAGGCGACGGCGCATCTGTGAGAAAGTGACTGTAGACGAGACGCCAGGGCAGGGCCAACCATATTGCATATCCGCCTCTGGAGCCTATCAAGAACACCGAGGCAAACAGAAGGGGCGCCAGACCATATATGGCAGCAATACTCCATGCAAGGGCGAATTGTGGATTTGTATATCTGGAGAATCGACTCCGGGGAGAAAAATTTCCTAGCGCGGCTCAGGGAGCCAACTTTCCTCGCAGTGGACGAGGCAATTGACTCGATGTATTTATTCCATCTCAGGTCAGCAGTCAACATGAGACCGAGAAGCCGCAGAGAGTTGCTCTTGAGAAGTTGAGCGTCAGACATTCTAATGGAGGGAAGGGAAGGCTCTGTGGTGATTAATAGAGAGCAGTTTTGTCTTAGAAGCGTTGAAGTTGACCAGCCAATTCATGCCCCAGTTCACAATCGATTGGAGGTCCTTTTCGAGACGCACGGCAAGGTGAGTTTTGTCAGCGAGACTAGATTTGTTTTTTGAGGCAATTGCTTGTATTTTTATATTTTCATAGTGTCATGTTTTTGTTTGGGGGTTTCACTATTTGACCATAGCTGGTGCGCTAATAGGTGCTACTACCCAAAGCCAGGATGGACCTATGAACAACAGCAATTAAGAGGTAGTTCCATGCTCATTAAAATCTCCAATCTGATCAGTGGCCTTGCTGCTGGATGTAGTTTATTGTCATACCAGGACTAGACACATTTTGAACAGTCCATGAAATAAGGAGAGAGAGAGAGAGAGAGAGAAGTGTACAAGGACATAAGTATAAAAAGAAAGATAAGAATAAATAGAGTGAGAAAATAGAAACAAGGTTTTGAACAGACTGAGAAATAAATACAAACATAATTGTGATAAAATGACATGTGAAATATCTGAATAAAGTATTTAAGATGGAATATGTGAAAACCAGTTGATGTTAAAATCTGTTATTCCATTGCCATTCAATATGATCAGAAAACTGAAATATTTAAAGAAAAATCATGATCATCGTAATCTTGCCACTTAGAAATGCTGTAGTTAATTAGTACATAGGAAAATGTTACAATAGACAAATATGAATTTATCAAGGTACAAGAGGGTGTCAATTGACCAGAGGACAAAAAAGACTTCAGTATAGAAAGAGAAAAATGAAAAAGAATAGTGAGAAATAAACAGAGAGACAAACTACATAAGTAGAAATTGACATAAGCAAGTAGAAATAAGGATAAAGACTCTAAAATACAAAAATCTCTATCTATAAAAGGGAGGATGTGTGTGTGTGTGTGTGTGTGTGTGTGTGTAACGAATGCACGGCCACAATTTTCGACGGATTTGCACCAAAATTTACATGCACATGCTCCAAGTTAGCGGGAAGACCAAGACTGACTTTGCATTTCCCAACTCCCATCGATAGTGGAAATAATCAATTTTTTCATGCTTCTACGGCAGTTTTCATGTAGTTTGCAGCCATTTTGTAGTGGCCAGAGTGAGAGCCTATAGTTGGCTGCCATGAATAGGCAGGAAGATTTTACTGGCCAGCGTGAGAGCCAACAGCTGACTGACATGAATGTTAACTAAGTCGATAGCTGCATTCGTCACAAGTGGGAAAAATTTCAATCTGCATGGTACTTTACTCCAATTGGCTCATTCGCTTGCTTAAACTCAACGTTGATACTGATTCTGCAGAACTGGGTTTGGTGTGAAAAAGTATTTGTTATTAACATTCTTTTTTCATTCAGTTTTTCCAGTTACGAATCCTTTTTTAAAGCTGATCGTTTTGTGTTCATTTTGTTTAGTTCTTTTTTCATAACAGATTTAATGTTTAGTATAGAGCTTAGAAAAAATTCACAGTGTTGGATAGGCAAGAAGTAAAGCATGTAGCAACATCAGCATGGCAAAGGGCACTCCTTTAAAGGCAAGGAAGGGCAAAAATATTTTAAGTCAAGTGATAGCGATTGCTGTATGATTTGTACAATTTTTTAATCAAGCACGGACAATGCTGCTAGTGAACACTAATTTGCAGCCTTGTTAATTTTTCCGTAAGATAGCGACCAAAACTGATATTAAACAATTATTCATTTTTTTTTCTATTACAAGGGAATCCCATAAAGTTCTTATCATTTGGTCATATTTGGGGAAATATGTCAAGAAACTTTCAACATTACATCATACTTATTCCATCTTAATTTCAGTTGCTTTTCATTACAACTCAATCCATCAGTCTTACATAGCAGTCGGTAAACAGTATAAATCAGTATCTGTCTATATTTCTGAGATGAGGTATTATGTACACTATTTACATTATTTGGACTATTGTCTTTGTTGTCATGTTTATTACAACGTTTCGGCCATTGTATGCTCCAGCCTTCTTCAGGTGGTTGGAATGTCGAACTGAACCCTTTATTTTGCTTGTTGGGGTAGACTATTCTAGTTCCACATGCCATGTTTAATGGATGTCAGTTATCTCCTGTTAATTCCCCTCTCCAAGTTCTCCACAGCCTTAACCTGATATTGAACTCATACTCTTTGGGTCCTGTCACTGGACCTAACTAACACCTTTATCCACTGAGCCATGTGTCCTCAGAGTGTACAACAGTCAAAATGTAATAAATATGGCGACAAAGATGAGGACAATAGTCCAAATAATGTAAATAGTGTATATAATACCTCATCTCAGAAATATAGAGAGATACTGAAAGGCCGAAATGTTGTAATAAATATGGCGACAAAGATGAGGACAATAGTCCGAATAATGTAAATAGTGAGTGTAAATCAGAAGTTAAAAAAATAAGCTCCAAGTGAGATTTGAACTTGCATCTCTTGTATCCCAAGACAGATCAACTGTCATACATAGACAATCATTCTAGTGATTTATGGTGGCCAAATTGACAAGAATATGAAGGAGCAAAATCAGCTTTCAAACAAAGTACAAACTGTACAAATTGCTGGTAGTCTCCATTCTCGCATATGAATGTGAAACATGGACACTGTTGGCAGATACAGAGAAGGATCCAAGCATTTGAGAACAAATGCATAAGAAAACTCCTTGGAATTTTCTATTGGAAACAAAAAACCAATCAGTTTGTGCAGAAAAGAGTTGAAAGTTTTGTGGGACACCAGGAACTTCTTCTTGCCACTGTCAAATGGAGAAAAATGGCATGGTTTGGACACATTACAAGAAACGACAGCTTATGCAAGGCACTGTTGAGGGTGGACATAGAAGAGGATGTCAATGTATAAACTCATTGGACAATATCAAACAATGGATGACTGTACCAGAATTGCTGATGGTTGCTGTTGTTAGACTGTTGTGGAAAAGAGTTAGTGTGGATTCTGCATTCTGATCCGCCCTATGATTACAAAAGTCAAGGGGATGATGATAATGATGATGAGGAGGAGGAGGAAGCCAAATCTAAATCATACAGATTTAACATTTATTTCCCCAACTTCAATTGGTCATGTGCCATATTTGTAATAATTCTTACAAACACTAGTGCTGCAGCACTGCTCCTTGTTTGATTAAAAGCAATACTAACCAAAATTTACACATGTAAATGACAGGTGAAATTAAATAGAATAAATTTCAAGGTGATATTTTATATTTTTATATAACTGAGTAACTAAGTAGAAAAAATACATTAGTATACATGCAAAAGAAAAACATTAAAAGCTAGGAATTGCACGAGATGCACATGCGTGTGAGCATGAAAAGTTCAGTCACTAAGAGGGAGAAATATCCCCATGCCCAGGAACAAGGTCCTGGTGGTGTCACTTTTGCTACATGCTAGAAGAAAAAGAAAGAAAAAAGACAGGAAGTGTCTCATTTTTATAGGTACTGCACAGCACTATCTTGGTGAAACTAAGTAGGAGAAACCCACAATAGTATAAGTAGTAATTTCAATCACAGACTATTTGTCTATAGCCATACTGAAGACTGAATAGTTACTATAAAAAGAAAGTAAAAATTCAGATAAAAGAAACATGAATCAAAAATTAATAATGGTTGACAATGCTTCATCTAATAATAAAATCCAGGAGAATATTACCACTTTTTACTAACAATCATAAACTGGTGGTCTTAGTAGTTACTATATAAAGCAAGTAAAATTAAAATGAAAGAAATGACTGATAAGAAATTATAAGAAAAAAGGCATCTATTTATAAAAAAAAAGATTAAAATTGATGAGCTGATGAGGCTAAAACTTACATGAAAAAACTGTTTGAAACATGAGCTAAGTACAGAATAAAGATTAATAATCATTCAAGCTCCAGTCATTTTTGCCAAAAAAATTGTATACTTTACTTACATATACTCTTTTCCACCAGTAAGCAAAAGTCCATCTTTGAGTGTGGTATACATACAAAAAATAGGTCCTGTGTGAGCCTTTACTACAAGCCGTTGAAGGGTATTCCCTTGCCATACATACACATCACCACTCAGGGTCCCCGTAAAAGTGACATTATTCTGAAATCAGAACAAAAGCAATATTTAATATTGTGGGATATAATCTGCTTTATCTCTGCATAAAAGTTATATATTTGGGCAGCAATCTTTCTTTTATACATATTTCATTGGATGTGATGAACAGGGAAAATTTGATAAATTCTTTTTATTCAGTTTTTCTGAAGTTCTTACAGTTTTCCTTTCATGTAGATTTAAGAGAGTGAAGAAGCTTTCAGCCAACTACCTACTCCCATTAAAAAAGAATCATCACAGATAAAACTTGTCATTCTATGAACATCTAATGGTAAAAGACATGTGAAGATAACTGAAGCACTGTAGTGAAAGAGATAATCAGTTACCCTGAAAAAAAGTTCGTGTTTTGTGAAAAATTACCAAAAAGTAGTCAGCAAAAATCTACATCAATGACTAGAAGCTATGCTAATGTTCTTCCCTCCCCTGAATGGCGTGACCAATCAGAAAATTCTCTCAGTGAACAGAAGTCATTTTTCACTTATAAAAGGAGATGATTTTTTTGAGCTGTGAAACGAACACGCGTTGTTGTTGGCGAGAAGTGATGGTTGGATTTGTGATCCCATTTTGTCATTTCTACGGTGTGTGTTGGACTGTTACGTCAGACTATCGTGTGAACTGCGATTTGGCTACAAGTGTTGCGGCCGAGAAACAAGAAATCTATTGCAGTTGCTATTATCAGTTGATAGTCTTTTTTTACTACAACAAGCACTTTATATAAAAATGGTTTAAGCCAAGTCTCAAACTTCTATCTATGTGCTGTGTCTTTTTTCCGGACATCTCTTGCAGCTCTCACCAAGTTCCTCCCCTCTGCCACCTCCCCCCAGACCACGTTCTGTCATCCACTTGCTTAAGGTTGCCAGGTATGTCATGCATTGTTTACTCTTGTCTCTTTCCCTCTATTCCACCTGTGAGTATCAAATTCTACAAGACCTCCTTTCTTGTTATGTCCCAGAAATTTCAGCTGCTTCTTCCTGATGTTAAGTATAAGCTTCCTCCTTGTTCACATCCTCTCTAAGACCTCATCATTGCTCACCCACTCGGTCCATGATATCCTCAGCATCTTTCTGTAGAATCACATCTTCGAGTCTCTTCTTCATCTTTGAGGAAATTGTCCAACATTCGCAGCTGTAAAGGACAGATTTCATGTAACAGCTTAGTATTCTTTTCTTCATTACCAAAGAAATCCTCCTGTTTTGCAATACTCTGCCCAGCTTTTGGAATGTGTTCTTGGCTATCGCAATATGTCTACAGATCTCAGTGTCGCACTTACCGTCCTATGGAAAATGGCAAAAACATGCCAGTAGTCAGGCAGCCATTTAAAGACATCCTCAACTAGGAATTACTACTACTCCCATCCAGCAGGCTTTAGAATTACTACTGTGAAACTGTAAGAATGCTTATAATTTGAAGAGAGGAAAAAAAGCTTGAAAAGTGAACACAAAAGTGAAGAGGGTCATAGACAGATTGAAGGACATATTGAAAACCAAAAGAAATAAACTTTTTTTTTTGTCTCATTTAGTGAATAAAAAGCACTGAAATCCACTTGGGCATCTAGTTAAAGTGAGGCCCAAGGGTCAATGTGGGGGGAGTGCAGTAACATCTGCAAAGTGACCAGGACTGGTATGTCTAGGCAGAGACCACCAAGCCAGCCACAGATAATAATTTTTACAGCTGTAAGTGGTGAAGAAGAGGGTAAAGAAATGATTGTATGTCACTTGTTGATAGGGGTGAAAGGTGTGAGTGTCGCTAGAGAAGTGAAATTTCTTTAGGTACAATATAGAACTTGAATGACAAAGAAATAGGTCAATTGGTAAGTTAACAGTTTGAACAAGCATCCTCTGAAGATAAGGGAGGAATTATAATTGGCCAAGGAGAAAATTCTGGAAAATATCAACGCCTTATGAGAAAGGGCATTTCTAATTATGTGAAGTTGAAACAGATAATTAACAAACGTGTGCTATTCCTGCCACTCAGTTGAATGACCCTGATTAGTGAACAGGAGAGAGTAGGGGAAAATAGACTATGCCCATTGAAGGGTGTTGGTATAAGATATGAATAAGAGAAGGAAGATGTAAGTGGGGTAGGTCGTTGCACTGCTACCACTACTCTTCAGAGGAGGGATTCTCCAAATTTGGACATGCAAATTGCTTCCCAGAACACTGTCAACAATGTGTTCTGATTGGATCTTTGGAAAATCCTGGAACCCCAGATTGCATTGATCCCCACTCCGATGTTGAGTGAGGGTCTGTAAAAGCATTAGATTGGAGGGGAATTGTGAGTAGCAACTGAGGCAGAAACACTTTTCCATTATGCCAAAATGAGATGATCATTTCACCAATCCCCATGTGACTTGCTACCCTGGAGAACTCCCAATTCAGGCCTTGTTCCAGACTATTACATAAACTAAGTAGAGTGTCCTAACAAAATTGCAAAGTGGAAGAATTGAAAGTCTCTATATAACAACAGTGTGAGAGAGAGAGAGACAAGTGCTTTGTCAGCATACCATAATTTGATGCCTGAAGAAGTCACTGACTTAAATCTTGAAACCCTGACCCCAATGTGAAAGCGAAGAACAAAGTGTCACAAAATTACACTATGAGGGAATAGTCGTTAGCCTGCATGCTTGTAGATTCTTATATGAAAAATTGTTCCTGTATAAACCTCAGTTATATAAACCTTGTAGATCTACACAACTTTCTTATTTTTGTCTTATAACATCATCCGGCCTGAACAACATCCTTACTTATCTTGTGATCAAAACAAACACATGGGACAGGGAAAGGCTTAGATTAAAGTGACCAACTCTATGGTTAGCTGCAGGATTCAATCACGGACACACCTGGTGGCCAAGAACAGGATGGCATTGTCATTAGCACAAGGATCAGGACGTACTGCAGCGTTATACTACTACTTCTACACAATACAGCTTAGAATATAAACACAGGAAAATATACTAAAAACTAACCCCTTGAAAATGTCTAATGAATTGGCTGAAAACACTTAGGACAATAATCACTACAGACGGTTCTACACTCTCTTAGTCACCATGAAGGAAAAACTAAGAACATTAGAAAAACTGAATACAAACATAAAATTATTCCTTTTCCATCACATTCAATGAAACATAGGTGTGTATATTTCAAGCATAAACATATCTGCTATAACATATATTGAAATAACCATAATAGTAATATTAGCGGTTTCCTTATAAGGAAACATTTGACTGAACAGCCAGTGTTGTTTCAGTTGAAATTTATAAAATATTTCTTTTAAAAGATATTTCAGGAAAATAGGTTTCTCAATCTAGTAACTGTTACCATTCTTTCCAGTATTAATAAAGGCTTCCTTCCTTGCCTTTTATTTGAAGTAATGTGGAACATCAACATTTTGATTATGTCATTATTTTCTCTTCGATTTACATGTGCTATCCATTTTAGTTGTTGCTGCTGTTGAAAGTCCTTAAGTGATGTAGTTTCTGTTATTTGGTACAGTTCTTTGTGACTCTGTAACACCAGTCCACAAGGTTTGATGAAGGATGATCCTCACTGAGACCTACATGTTTTACTCACTTGAAAATATTTTTACCCATTGATTTGAGAAAGTGATCATATACAGCCAAATGTTTAGATATTTCTACTGCACTTCTTCCCTAGATTAAATAACGTCAAATGTGAAGTTTCTATTCAACTCTAAAGATTAATATTTATGTGGAGCTCTTTTAGATTAATCCCATGTCACTTAAGTGAATTCCCTAGAAAAAAATTACTTAATTAGTTTATTTATTTGTTTGGATTAATTTATTTTACTTAAAAATACAAACACAAAAACAAATTTTTACTATGTTACTTAAAAATCGAAAACTGTAAACAAACAAGAATAAATGAAAATAAATAAAATAAACAAAAAGCAAGTAAAATAAATAAACTAAGTAAATAATAAACAAATTAAAAAAACACATATCTATCTATAAAAGGCAGGATGTATGTGTGTGTGTGTGTGTGTGTGTGTGTGTGTGTGTAACGAATGCGCGGCCGCAATTTTCGACAGATTTGCACCAAAATTTACATGCACATGCTCCAAGTTAGCGGGAAGGCCAAAACCAACTTTGCATTTCCCAACTCCCATCGATAGTGGAAATAATCGATTTTTTTCATGTTTCTATGGCAGTTTTCATGAGATAGGCAAGAAGTAAGGCATGTAGCAACATCAGCATGGCAAAGAGCACTCCTTTAAAGTCAAGGAAGGGCAAAAATATTTTAAGTCAAGTGATTGCGATTGCTGTATGAGTCGGACGATTTTTGAATCAAGCACAGGCAACACCGGGCCATGCTGCTAGTGCACAGATAAACAAAAGAAAATGTAGTAATAACAACCAACAAGAATGATTTAAAACATAACTGTTACTGGCCACTAAAAACAACCACTAGAATAATATAATAGACTACCCACAATGCATCACTGACTGGTATATATAAATAGTCAAGCAATGCACATGTCCTGACGATTGCGTTTAGCATGAAACAGACTGTCACCTCTGAGTGTTGACTTCAGTGTCCACTTTTATATTTACATATGCTCTATCTCTGATATTGAGCCCTTTAACCTATAAATATAGCATACATTAAAACTATATTTTATCATATATATATATATATATATATATATATTTTAAGCATTTCACCCCTAGCAAGGCAGGAAGCCACTAGTACGTAAGGGGTTACAGAGGATTTGGAACAAGAGCAGATAGTAATGATAGAGGAGAGGATGAGGAGAAGGATAGTGGATAGATCAAGGCAACTGGAGATGTCGATTGACATTACATTTGAATAGTCGGAGATTAAAGCTAACAGGGAAACTGGAGTAGGGAAGGGAGTTCCACAGGCAAGAGGTATGAGACATGAAGCTACTGGAGTAGAGGAGGTGACTACATTTAACAGTTTCAACAGCGAAAGGGTGAGAGTGGGATGCCAGCCTTGTAGGATGCTTGAATTCGCGAAGTCTTGGAACCAGCGAAAATAGCTCCTCGGAGCAATTACCATGAAAGTATTTATAAAAAAGAGAGAGAGAGGCGACATACATACATTTTTATATATATATATATATACACACACACACACACACACACACACATACCTACCTACCTCATAGTTACCGCTTTCAATTTATCTTTCGAAAATACAGTTCTCCAAATGCCTCCTCCAGGGTCCTAACAGAGGATAGTCTGACCTTGCTAGAAGCTCTTAGACATTAACCATAGACTGCTCCTACTTTGTCAACATGCTTGGAATCCATTTCATACAGGTCTCTGAGTAACCAAAAGACTGCACTAAACTGCAAGCACTACCATGGCTTACCTGATGCATTTAAGTATGAAACAGTCTGTCCCCATCCAATGATGTACACAATGTGTTTATGTGAAAGATTTCCTCAGTATGCACAGAATGAGTAATGATATATAATTGCTTAAAGTGTAAAACAGTTACCATCCAGTATTGATTCCTATGTCCACACTATATCTACAAACACTATCTGATATTGTGCAGTATTCAATTTATAGTAAATGTTAAAGATATGTATATATAAAATGTACATGCATACACAGGAAGGTTATCACTGAATTTTATATATATATATATATATATATATATATACCACCACACTGCTTTCATATCAAACCAACTGGTACTTACATTTCCAAAGGCCAATGATAACATGGTTTGCATCTTGCAAATACTTCCTCCAGTGCCAGCAGCTGTAAGAATTCCCTTTTTACCAAGAATCTGACTGCCAGCCACTGACCAGAACTTCACATGTTTAATTCCGACACTGACCAACTGCTGGTCAGAATCAGGCCGGAATTCAACCCGAAAGATTCGGTCAGTATGCCCATCAACACTAGCCATTAGCATACCTGAAAAATGACAGAACAAACATTGTAAGCATTTCTGGATAACTTGTTATTTATTTTTGACTAGTATTCATCATTACTGACTAGCAATCTGGGAACTGCACTATAAAGCAAGAGAATTAAGATAAAAGAAAAACTGATATGCAGATGGCACCATTTTATTCTTTTAATCATTTCACCCCAAGCAAGGCAATAAAGCTACTTTATTAATACTATTAATAACTGCATTGTTTCTTTCCAAGTAAACTGACATCTGGCTGTTCAAAGGAAACTGTTCATCCTGTTGATAAAAAAATGTCATCAATAGTTGATATGATATCACCATCACTGCAATAGTGGTTCCCAATCAATTTTTTTCATGTTGGAAAACAGATGATAGTCAAGTCAGGAGAATAGGGAGGGTAATCAACTAGTTCAAAGCCACAATCATACAGAGCATATATTGAAATCAAGGACTGGAGTATTATCCTGATGAAACAAGACCACTTTCATCAGTTTTTCTGGAGGTTTCATCTTGATAGCCTTTCATAACTGTCTCAGCAAGTTGGTATAGTACTCGCCATTGATGCTGTAGCCCTTTTGAAAATAGTCAATAAACACTATGTCTTTTGCATCCCATAAAGGGAAGCCATCACCTTCCCTGCTGATGAAATGACCTTGAACTTCTTTGGAGCAGGTGATGAGGTGTTTCCACTGCATAGATTGTCTCTTTGTCTCTGGCTCAGTGATGAACCCAACACTCATCCTGGGTTAGGAACAATTCAAGAAAACCAGCTGGATCTAACTCAAACAATGTCAGATTTTTCCCATGATGTGATCAGCTAGTTGTGCTTTTGATTTGGTGTCAAAAGACATGGCACCCACGTAGCAGAAACCTTTGTCATGCCAAGTTCATTATGCAGAATATTCTCAGCTCTCTCACAGGATATGCTAATAGCATTGGCTATTTGATTTATTATCAATCACCAGTTATCCATCTTCCCATGGTGAACATGATCAATGGTTTCCTCAGTGGTGGCAGTTGTAGACCCTTGCGTCATATTCAAAACTCTCTTCCCTTCTTAAATTCAGCTGCCCAATTTTGTATGGTTGATAAAGTTGGAGTGTCATCTCCTAATGTAGCAACCATGTCAGCATGAATGACCTTGGAAGATAAACCATTTTTCTGCAAGTATTTGATAAAACCATGATGCCAAATTTTGTCCATTTTTCAAGAGAAGTCACTATTAGTTACTTTTGAAGTCTTCTTTGAACAGCCAGATGTCAGTTTAACTGAAAAGAAACAAAGCAGCTATTAAGAAGGAGAATTGAAATTAATGCATGCAAGATTTCACAGTTCTAGCATCACTCCTTCATAGTCAGCCACTGAACTTTTCAGCCAACCCTCTTAATGTTCTATTGCTAAATTTCAAGAATGAACCAAGATCACAACATATTATCCAGTCAGACTAATATCCTCACAACAACATTTTGACCATTGTACCATTCAACCTTCCTCAAGTGTCTGTCAGTCTAGGTAACTTTTGGGAATTCTTCTATGAATATTTTTATGGTAATTGTTCTGATGAGCTTTCCTCTTTGGCACCACAGCCTCTTGAATTTAGGCATAGGACTAGGCCTCATGTTTTCAATGTTGAAATTGCTTGATGTAAATGTTTCCTCTCTTGCACTTCTCATTCATGGAACTCTTTTCAGGACTTTCCTGCCAGCTACAATCTTCAAAAATTTAAATGCAACATTAATTATCATTTCACTTCAATAACGTTTTCTAAGTTTCTTTCAATCTAAAATGTCTTGGTGGCTTTTATCACCTTGCTTGGGGGGAAATGTCTAAAAAAAAAAAAAAAATTAAAAAATTTCAAGTGGAACACTTTATTGAATTTATGGGAGTAGATTGTTCTCACTCCACTGTTCATGTTTAGAGACATCGCTTCTTAGTTAATTATTCATTTATTGCTAGTTCTGTTTCAACTGAGTGAGTATATCTATACTGCCCAGCACAAGGATTGAACTCTATTATTGCATCACCAGATTTATAAACCAATGCTTTAATCCTTGGCACCATTATCTCATAGAAAGTAATTAAAATTCTAATGCTAAATTTCAAGAATGAATCAAGGCCACAAACCGAACACCTCACCTTCTTGCCATTTCCAAATTGCAATCCGATGTTTTTCTCCAAGGCCAACTGAAACAAGATATCGCCCTGAACTGGAGAAATCTACTGAGCAGACCCCCTTTTCATGAACACCCTCTAGGATGGAAAGTGTCTCCTTGCTGTAGGCATCCCAAATATGGATACAGGGTGGCTGGCCAAGTTGACCACTGGCTATGATGTTCTTGAACTTAGGATGTTGATTTATTGCCAGACAGATGATATCGTCTGTGTGATGAATATAAAAGCTTTGAGTACCTGTAAAAAAGAAAGTAAACTTAGACAAAGTACTGTAACTTCCATAAATAAGTACATTTCTACATACATTATCTGTAAGCAAAATGAAATATAAGCTGGAGATAGAGCTGTCTGAATCTCTTCTCAAGTTTATTTTTTTTTAAATATCAAGAGTCTGGCATGCAGACAAAAACTGATATAGAATTTTATCTCTTCCTTGAAGAATTAAGAAAACACATCATTAACGAGGAGACAGACAGGGCTTATATTTTTGCTGATCAAAATGAAATGAGAAATTTAAACAAAGAACAAAACCTTTTTGAGGGTTGAAGTTATGAAAACAGATCCTGTTGTTGACAAGCAGGTGATCTGGTCTATATTTTCACTAGTCTGGTGAAATAATTTTATCTCTTCCTTGAGAATTTAAGCAAACAAATATTGTTAACAGGAGAGAGAGAGAGGTCTGGATTATATTTTAACTGACTAAAATGAATTGGGAACTTGGGGATATGTAAACAAGGAACAAACCCTTTTTGAGGATCAAAATTATGAAGACAAATCCTCTCATTAACAAGTAGGTGATCTGGTTTATATTTTTGCTAGACAGAGATAAGTCCAGAAATGGAGAAATAATTTTATCTCTACCTTCAGAAATCAAGAGAATTAAAATTAATGACTAGAATAAAACTTTGCCCTTTTGTCAACATGCATTAAAAATTAGATTTGTCCCAAAGACGGTTATGCCTGCCCTGGGAAGTAGGCTGAGGTTGAATACTAAGAAGGAAGGAGGAAGAGGGAGAATTTAGAACCACCTGTATGGAGTGATGGTATGGGATGTAAAGTGGAACAGGTTGGAGTTGAATAGAGGAGCAATCTCTGTAACTACTCCCAAAAAGGTGGATAATTCTCCAAATTTGGAAAGTTAAGAAAGCAGAAATAGGGAACAAAAGAACACTTATTGGGATTAATGTGAAAATTGAGGAATCATTGAATCCTCAGAACCCTTCTACCCCACACCAGTTTTGAGCTAAAGTGCATATAAGCAGATAGCTTTGAGAGCTTGGAGATTGCACTATGAATCCTGCATCATATGCCGCTGGAATCCACATCAGCTTCCACCAGATTTCCTGACTCTGAAGAACTTTGAACTCCGAATATTAGGCTGGCACAGTCTCACTATAGATGCAGGAAAGAGTTCATTTTTGTTGTACCAAGAACTATATAAACCAATTAAAGATTAACCCATTGAATCTTTTGTTTTTATTTTTCATTATGAAGATATTTCTTCCCTTAACATAGCAACCACCACAGCTCAAACCAGAGCTGCGATTTCTATGACATTCGATCTTTCACAGCTCTGAGATTAAGAACACAATGTGGGTAGAGTTGGTGTGAACTGAAGTGACCAACAACTGACATCAGTTTTGACCAGCACAGAGTCAGCCCTGTGGTTAAAAAATTGTCCTAAAACCCTGAGGGCCAGACCATTAAACATGGTCAGGTGTATGCATAAGTAAAAGGGGTTATAAACCTACCTGAAGAAATATTTTGTATCACACCAACACCAGCTGTGTGAAAGGCAATATCATTGACGTCATCAAGAAAATGTAAATTGTTTCGGGTGTCAAACCCACGATAGCCATAAACATGATCCAACACCAAATCCTGAAGAATAAAAGAACATTTTAGAGATTAACAAACTAAACAGTTCAAAAGCTCATCATTCAAGGACATATAAATACAAGTAGATACTCTGACACAATGGGCACTGATTATCTAGGACACCCACATAGTCAAGTGGACTGTAAATGTGAAGAGTAAGAAAAAATAGGTTCTGCCGAAATAGCTTGAAGAGTAAGCGTTCTCAAAGCAAATTTGTGGCTTTCACAACACAAAGAAAGAAAATCACTTGTAACGCGTCAGGAAAAAAACTCACGAACGCCGTAGCCAAAAATGCCCGAATTTTCCTTCCCCGAGTCGAAAACACCAACTGCTTTTATCAGCAGAACCTATTTTTTCCATTCATCGACAGCTGGGATAGGATGCTCCGTAATTTGCATATTAATATACTCTTATAGCGACTCCTGCGACAGACTTGTTTCTTTTTTTCGTCACAGAATACACGCGACGCGCTGTCACTTGGGTTGACGAGGTAAGTCGCTATAACAGTTTTGCTGACTACTTTTTGGCAATCCCTCCCCGGCAGATCGCACACAAAACACAAACTTTTTTCCGGGGTACTTGATTATCTCGTTCACTACAAAATGATTTTATCTGGGCCTAGTTTTAACAGTAAAATCAAGATGTGAGAGCTTCAAATCAACCATCCATGTCTACAAGTAGGAAATAAAAATTTTCAGGATCAAGTGCCACTCAAGGAAAAAGGTTGGTTAGTTGTTTAGTGACATATCAACCACTATGGGTTATTTGATGCTGAAATCTAATTAGTTTTACACAGTTTTATGGCTTTAACTACAGATATTATGTACATAATTTTATAGTTTCAGGGTAAACATGTTTTGCAGTTATATTGGTTATAAATTATCTGTTGTACGTGTTACAAAGTGCGATGGGTAAATTGGTCGCCATTTTATATTTTTAATTTCATACATCCATGTTTTTTGATTTTGTCAACTGCCAGTATAGCAGAGTCAGTTGGGCACCATGATACAATTCACTCTGCCAGAAATTTTGAAATGATATGTTGTACAGCTTGGCAATCATGCCGGAAGCTCCAATACAAACATTCCAGAGTGGGTGTCAATCTGAGGACAGTGCAGAGGATTCGGAAAGAGTTGGATGAGTCTAATAGTGCAGCAGCTCAAAAAACACATTCTGATATGAAAAGAACTCCCAAATTTGTTGGTGAGATCCAGGCCATGATTGACAACAATCCCTCCAAGTCAATCAGGTCCATAGCCAGGGACACAGAAGTGTCAGAGTTTCTTATGAAACATTTTGTGTATGAAGATATTTGGTATTTCTCATACAAGATGAGAAAGGGACAATTTTTATCCCAAGCCATGAAGGACAAGAGAAAAGACTGTGCTATGAAGCTTTTGTACAAACTCAAGCATCCTCTCCAACAAAACATGCTTCGGTTTTTATCAGATGAGAAAGCTTTCTGTCAGGATAAGATGGTGAACACACAGAACAACTGTTGGCTTGCTGTGTCCTCAAAAGATGTACAGAGAGCAATGAAAAGCAAATATCCAGTCAACATCATGGTGTTTGGATTGATCACTAGTGCTGGTGACATTATGCCACATCTTCCCACAAGTCCTAAGACTAAACAAGTGTGATTGAGGAGGTAGTGTTGCTCTGGGTGAAGAGAGTGGCTGCTTTACTATTTTTGGTGTTTTTTAACACCACTTCAAGTTTTGCATTTGTAAAGTTTCCAGATTTATCATCAAGATACATTTCCCCGAAAGATTTTTAAAATGGTTTTGCAATTTATTCAGCCTGACTATTGGCCTTGGGTTTATTTGATGATTTTTTGCCATTGATCTTGTTGACAGTTTTCCAAGCAAGAACAGATTGTTGGCAGCAGCAGAGATGAGGAGCCAAATTTTTTTCCTGGATGCATTCAGCTTGCTGATCTTCATAAGAATTCTTGAGTTGAGCAAGCACCTCATTGAAGTCTTGGATTTAATTTTTTTAAATCCTTGGTTAAAATTAAAAATGAAAGAAGCAATTAGTACTGAAGTTATTACAACTATAAACAAGTTATATAAACTGAAAAAATGAAATTTGCTTACCAAAATGATCTAAAAATGTCTGAATATGAGTCAGTGAAAATATCTAGAAATTATTTCATCAAAGTTGAGAAAAGATCCTTATGAAAATATGCAAAATATGGTTACAAGAATAAAGATTTGGAATCTAGTTATCAAAATAGTAATAGAAAATTGATCTCTGGAATGAGGGGAAGTTTAACTCACAGATATTTTGGTAGCTTTCTTCTTTTTGCCACTTTGGATTGTTTCATTTGCCTGCACTTTAGGAGGAGGATTCAAATTCCGACTGATGGTGGGACTGAAAAGAAATTAAATAAAGGTGCAGATATTAGCATTCAGTCAATTCTACATACTTAACCACAAGATTGCTGAAAATATTTGCATTATTCTTTTGTAAAATGTATGATATTCCCTGATGAGCAGATGGAATGTTTGCTGGAAGGTCCGCCTACTCTAGCGTTGGGATACTAAAGATAACTCCAATCAGCTAAGAGACAAACTTTATATATTGCATTAAGGGGAGGCACGGTGGAGTAATGGATAGTGGCTTGGATTGAGGAACTGGAGAGCTGAGTTCGAATTCCAATCGAATCCATTACATTCACTTACGTGCTAATACCCTTGGAAAAGGTGTGAATCCTCTTCTTCTCCCTCCAGCTATGGGTAAATAGCAGGACAGACTGGGTTCTATAGCCTTGGATGGCAACTGGTCTAGGAGAAGGACAACTCTGAATTCAAAACCTGCAGAGGGTTGTTTGGGAACCTTGTGGCACGTAGTGCATCAGGTCTCTGTATTCGGCCCTTCAAAAAGGGTGGATGGTCCTGCACGAAACATTCACCACTATAATCAAATCTCATATGCTATTGTCAGGCTGTCAGTTTCCTTGGAATTGATCTGCTTGACCCTCATACGTCAAATTCGACGGGAGAGTTGAGTGAGTATATATGTCTCATTAATAATTTAGCCAAGTTTTGTCTACTTATTCTTAATAGGATCCTCTCATATTTAGGGACTAGTTTCTGAGTATCCTTGTTAAAGGAAGAAAGAAAATTACCATGTTGTATATCTATTTTATTCCTGAGTACTTTCGACATTAGCACAATGTTATCTTTAAGGTCTTGTTTTTTCCAAGACAAAATTGCTGTGTTCTTCTGAAAATTAAATTATTTACTTGTCTCTCTAGATTTCATTACCTATGATATCAAGTTCCTAACGTTTTGTACGTCGAACCTATTTTAGGACTGAATTAGTACAAATACAAGCCTCCACTGTGAAACCACTCTACAACATTTATTCTAAAGTTTTCCTAATTGCAGACATAATATTTTTGCTGATATGAGGACTTCTACAATTATAGAAAACTAGAAAACTGATGCATGCTGAAATCTTCACAATATTTATTATTGTTGAAGTAATCATTAACATTTTTTCATTGAGATTTTCAAACTGTTTCTTTCAATTTTGCAAAAACAAATCAGTGAAATTTAAATAAGCTGATTTGTTTGGGAAAATACTTTGACAAATCCCTACTTCAGGGTTTTTACACACCTTAGTAAAACCAACTGTACTTCATTTCCTCTTACCTGCTTTCATTTCTCCCCCAAATTTGGTTTCATTTGGTCAATGTACGGCTATTTTAGAGAGTATGAAGTATAGAGAATTTTATATATAGACTAGCAGTAGAGCCCGGCATTGCCCGGGGATGTAACAGTAAGAGATAGATCAAGTATCGACCATCATAAAGACTGAAAAATAAAATTGACAAAGATTATTGTTTAAGCTTGACGGACACGCATGTCTTAATTATATTTTTTTTTTTTTTTTTTTACGAATTGGTCAAACCCAAACTCAAACAAAAATATTGTTTTCAATCGTTATGAGTCTACCGATTGAATAGAATTTTATTATAAACAATTGTCTTGTAAATGGAATTTTAAAGCATTCTGAATGTAAAAATAAAAGAAAAAGTGTGCAAGACAATAAGAAACACTACCTGCCAAAAAAGTGAAGTTTTGTTGAAATCGGTTTGAAAATGTAGGAAATCTGATCCCATATATAAATGAACACACACACATACACACACAACCTGGGTTTTATAATAAGTATAATTTGATATCAGTTGTCCCCCTTTCATTCTTGCGATGCCTCTTAATCGTGTTTTCAAATTGATTTTGTGCAAAAACAATTGTGTTTTTCCAATTTTGGCACTGTCAGAACCACCATGAGGTAATTTGCACGTAGTCCTGTGAAGTTTTGTTGAAATCTGTTGAAAATGTAGAAATCCGATCCAATATAAAAATGTACAGACACACACACAACCTGGGTTTTATAATAAGTATGATTACATAGCTTTACTTTAGCCTTCCAATACAGGTACATTATGTTTTAAATGAATAAATATTTCAAAGTACATTCAGCATGTATTCTTGGCATTGTAAATAAAGCTGTTCACATTGAAGAATTTGAAGTCTTATTTATATTTCAGACTCTTCATATTTAATGAGGTTACTCTTTCTAAACCTAATGAAAGTTTAAAATAAAATTAAAAGAATAATCTGCAGAACCTCAAACAATTTAAGTCATTATTTGAAGCTTTATGGTATTTTAAAGTTGATGGGCAAAGCTGCGTTTCACATCTCCGAAATAAGCTGCCTTTCACATCTCCGAAATAAGCTGCCTAATATAGGGTTAAGCCAGATTTTAGCTTATAATATTCATATAGTAATACCCACTGGTTTTACTGCTACTCCATCACTACTTTAACTAAGCTGTACCTATTTATATACAAACTAAATATTTCTGGCAGTAGAACTTATAAAGCACAAAACTTTTTGTCTTTATTTTTCTAAGAAAGTCAAAATGTGTTACCATTAGTGATACATCATATATTGACCACTGAACAGGGCTATTATATGTATAAGAAAAATGAATTGTTACTGATTTTTACTATAGAAATACATTGAAAAATCAGGAAGAATGGGATTTTAATTGTTCAAGAATTAGTGCGAGTGTTAATAACAGAACAAAGCTATTATATCTATAATGTAAATGCATTGAAACTCAGAAAGAGATTATCAGTGGTCAGAAATTAAGTGCCCAATATATTCCATACCCATTTAAGATATTTCCATTTGATAGTTGTTGATTTGGTTTTACTCCTTCACGTCGTTGTAAGGACTCGGCATATATTTTGCTTGTGTAGTCAATCTTTTTCTCTCGTTCAACATCACTATCATAACCTAAAAGTACAAATAAAAAAATTACTTTATTATGCAGGGTATGATGGATAAATTGTCATCTAAATTACACAGAAATGAAAATAACACTGACATCTCATTTTAACAGATATATTTACCAAAATTACACAAAAATATCTTGAAATACTGAAGAGTAATTTTATTCAATAAAATTGCCATTGGCTTCAGCCACGACTTTCAGATGACTTCAGAATCTCCTGCATCTCTTCTGGACGGTCTTCTTGTTTGTTGATGAATGTTGCCATAATCTTTGCCTTCAGTTCATCTTTAATGTTACAAGTAGTTTTGTTGGTCTCTCGCTCAACTGCACCCCACACATAATAATCAAGGGGGTCACAGTCTGGGAAGTTAGGTGGCCAGATGTAAGAGGTGATATAATCACAGAAATTGCCTGACAGCCGTGACTGGGTTCTGATTGTGTGATGTGGTCCAGAGTCCTGTTTCCAGACATAGGATCTTCCAGTAGCCACTTTTTTGACCCAGAGCAAATGATGTAGGGCTCCATGTTTAGTCTTAGGCCCTGTGGGAAGATTAATAGAGGCATAACATCACCATCACTAGTAATCACTTCAAACACCATGATGCTAACTAGATATATCATCCAACTGTTTCCAAATTCTCTGCACTGTCTTCAGATTAACATCCAAACACTCTTGTATTGAAGATTCTGGCATGAATGCCAAGAAGTACAGCATGCCATTTCTAAATTTCTGGCAGAGTGAAATGTATCATGATGCTCTTTTTCCCAGGGATGGTGCCCAACTGACCCTACTGTACCGGGCAGTCAACAAAATCAAAAACAAACAACATAACATGCATGTGAGAAATTAAAAATATAAAATGACAACAATTTACCCATGACACCCTATATATCAAATTTTTTAGACCATCAACTGACCCTAACCCACAAATCTTAAACATGTACAAAAAATTATCATAACATTTAATTTTTATTTAAGGCTACAGATTTCTATGTCCTTTTCTTTCATTGCAAACCAATAAGATAAATTTTAATTTGTCTCTGAATTTCTGGGATGAGGCGTTATCATTATTTCCACTATTTACATGCAGACTATTGTCCTCATCTTTGTTGTTGTTATCACAATGTTTTGGCCACTGTGCATTCTGGATGACATCAGGTTTATATCAATCTAGGTAACCTACAGGAAATTCTGAACTGAATCTTTTTTTTTTTTTTTTTTTTAAGCGTTTTACCCCAAGCAAGGTGAAAACCCACTAGGATGCAAGGGGTTACAGAAAATTTGGAGCAAGATCAGATAGGAGTGATAGAAGAAAGGATGAGGAGAAGAGTAGTGGATAGATCAAGGCAATTGGAGATGTCGACTGACATTACATTTGAATAGCTGGAGATTATAGCTCTCAGGGAAACTGGAATAGGGAAGGGAGTTCCACAGGCAAGAGGTGTGAGACATGAAGCTATTGGAATAGAAGAGATGGCTACATTTAGAAGTTTCAACAGTGAAAGGGTGAGAGTGGGATGCCAGCCTCATAGGGCGCTTGAACTCATGAAGTCTGAGAATCAGCGAATGCAGCTCCTCTGAGCAATTGCCATGAAAGTATTTGTAAAACAGACAGAGAGAGGCAATAGCGCGTCTGTGAGAAAGTGACTGTAGACGAGATGCCAGAGCAGGGCCAATTATATTGCATATCCGCCTCCGGAGCCTATCAAGAACCCCCGGGCAAACAGAAGGGGCTCCAGACCATATATGGCAGCAATACTCCATGCAAGAGCGAATTATTGATTTGTAGATCTGGAGGATCGATTCCAGGGAGAAAAATTTCCTGGCGCGGCACAGGGAGCCAACTTTCCTTCCGGTGGATGAAGCAATTGACTCAATGTATTTGTTCCATCTCAGGTCAGCAGTCAACGTGAGACCAAGCAGCCGCAGAGAGGTGCTCTCGAGAAGTTGAGCATCAGACATTCTAATGGAGGGCAGGGAAGGATCTCTGTGGTGATTAATAGAGAGCAGTTTTGTTTTTGAAGCATTAAAGTTGACCAGCCAATTCCTGCCCCAGTTCACAACTGATTGGAGGTCCTTTTCAAGACGCACGACCAGGTTATTTTTGTCAGTGACACTGGATTTGTTTTTGAGGCAGGAATAAATTGTGGTGTCATCTGCATAGATGCCAACTTGGGAATTTATGGCATCAGGAAGGTCATTTATGTAGATAAGGAATAGAGTGGGGCCTAGGATAGAGCCTTGAGGAACACCTGCATTCGTGGGATAGAAACTGGAGGAGAATCCGTTGAGAATGACCTTCAATTCACGGTTTGACAGGAAGGTAGACTGTTCTCATTCCACTGACCAGAACATATAGAGATATCTCATCTAATTCTTATTTTTAGTATTGCTCAGTTATTGCTCACTATTTCTACTGAGTCCAAGTACATACTGCCTAACTCAGGGATTGAACTCACAATTACAATGTCACCAAATTCCTGAATACATGCTTTAATCCACTTGACTTAGCATTTTGTTTTACATCTTTACTGCTGCTACATTTTTTGATTGGCTCATTTTATATTGTATGTTTTTTGTTTTTTTTTTTTAGGAGATTTGTTTTGTGAGCTGTATGTCATGCTGAGACCCCTGCATAGAGGATGACTTTTTTATTTGTGGTTTTGCTTTCTAACTTCTTACAACTTACCAACAGATTTTGATGTAGAATAAATCAGAAAAAAAAAATCTAATTTGATGGAGAGTATAACAAGAATAAAACTAGTAACTCTACCCCTTAAAAAACTATTTCCGACAAAACCCAAAATAGTAGCACCCAATATAGTGAAGCTGTGACCCTATGCTCCAGTGAGAGTCTAGATAATCAATACACATAAATACCTACAAATGAATACAAGAGAATAACAAATTACCCTCTTCTTCAGAATCTGTGTCAGAATCGTCACTTTCACCTCGACATGTTGTAGTTTTGCCTGCAGGATTGTTTGATGCCCAAACCATTACAGACATATCAGCCCCACCAACAGTCACAAGCTTCTGGTCATCATGACACCACCGGACATTAGTCACATGGGCACTGTGACCATTGTATTTTTTGAACTTGGCAAATCGTCCCTGAAATTAAGAATATACGTTTTGTTTTTTGTTTTTTAAAAATGCTTCTTACCATATAAAAATTGATGAGATATTTGAAGAGAAATTTATTTTATTGCAGAAAGGGTGAAAAAAAACAAAAAAAACAAATGTATATGTGTTTGTATTCTAGAGAAAGAAGTATTTTCTGTTGGAAATTGCACCCCAAATTACAGTGATAACTAATAGAAGGAAACAACCCCAACTGCTAACTTGACAGCCAATACTTACCAGTGAACAGAAGCATTTTTGCCAAGTATGAGCCAGAAAAGGGCTACTGTGTCAAAAATTGCAAATAGCTTTAATCAAGTTAAAGACAGAAATGAGTCACAACACACAGTACACTCAATATATACCTGCAGGCCAATTATAGCACTCATGCTAATTAATGTCCATCTTCAAACAGTGAACATTGAAACTGGATCTTGTATCAATGGATAAAGGTTATCTCGTATGATGAGCCATGCTTTTTCTGAATGGTTACAGTAAGGTACCTCTGCATCATAGAAAAGAAATGGTACCAAGATGCACTGTGAAAAAATAAATTGGAGGCAGTGCAATGGTTTGCATAACATTTCACTTGGAAATAATGGATTCTATCATTTATGGAGAAGGTACTTTATCATATACTACTTATTTCAACATCCTTGAAGAATAGGTACACTCCTGCAGGACAACAATCTTCCATAGTAGGAATAAATAATATTTTTATTGTAGAATTATAAGTGATTTTATTGCAGAAATGCATTGCAAATAAAAATGAAAGAGCTTGTTTGTAGTCATGAATAAAAAATAATAGTATTTTATACATGACATAAATGCACTCTTAGTGACTTTTACTATAGAAAGTATGGTAAATAATTTTTACTCCTAAAATGTCTTAAAAATTAGAAAAACTTTTAAGTTAAATCACAATCCAGGGTTTTGTCAACAATCAAAAGCCGAGGACGCAAAGTTTTTGAGATAATAATGATTTAGTAATAAAGTGTGTTCCCATGACTTCGACTGATTTTAAATGTGAATTAAGTTTAAGTGTCTAATGATTTTTTTTCTTCCTCTTTCAGATTTAACAACTTAATTCTATGGCAATTTCAACCATGGAAAGATTAACAATCAAACAACATGTTAAAGTTTCAAGAGTGCAATTGGAAAAATGGTTCATAAATTCAAAAAACTGGGTTGGTGGCAGATGTGAAAACACCGTTGTGTACTCATTTATGCCATTCAGCTGAAAACATTGCTGCAGTGCACAAGAATGTGGCTGAAAATCCATGCACCCCTATTTTTCATCATGCGCAGGAATTGAACTTCTCCACAACAATGTTACATCATTTCCAATTGCACTCTCAGTTGGTTGATTATGTTGACCAAAAAAACGCAAGGTGCACAAAATGCATTTCTGTTTGAATGTCCATTTTTCATAATAGGCTTCAATAACTTTAACATGTTTGATTGTTAATCTTTCCATGGTTGAAAGTTACCAAAGACTTAAGTTGTTAAATCTGAAAGAGAAAGAAAAAAAATCATTAGATGCTTAAACTTAATTCACATTTAAAATTGGTCCAAGTTATTGGAACACCCTTTATAATAGAACTATTATATATATGCATTACTGAGAAAACAGGGCTATTATATGCATAATAGAAATTGTATTGTTAATGATTCTATAATAGAATTGCAGTGTGTATATATAACTGTAGAATTATAAACGATTTTATTGCAGAAATGCATTGCAAATAAATATGAAAGAGCTTGTTTGTAGTCAGGAATAAATGCAGCATTACTAACTAAAATATGGTAAATAATTTTTACTCCTAAAATGTCTTAAAAATGAGAAAAACATTGAAGTTAAATCACAATCCGGGTTTTTGTCAATGGTCAAAAGCTGGAGACGTAAATGTACAGGTTGCATAACAAATAAACAGGGTTCAACTATTACAGTGAAACTCTTATGCACTCTGATTCAAACAAACGCTCCATACTCTATGAGTTTACTCTCCATCTGACTGTGTGATACACTATTTTTTTTTTTTTTTTTTTATAAGCATTTCACCCAACAAATGCAGAAGTGCCACTAGTATGCAAGGGGTTACAGAAATTGAAAGTAAGAGAAAAGATTAGGTATAGGGGAGGAATTGAAGAATGGATAAACAGAAGAACAGGGGTCAAGGCATCAGAAGATGTTGATTACATTTAAATTTTTGAAGAATATAGTTATCAGGGAAGCAAGTAAGAGGAAGGGAGTTCCACTGTTGAGAAGTGCATTCCAATCAAGCATGCAAATGACTGATAATATTAAAAAGGATATTGTTACAATTGCAAATGGCTGCTCCTTGCAACCACGTGTGACATTGTCGTGATGTCGGCCATGTTGGATTTGCATGCCAAATAGGTATGGGCCCACTTCACCCAGCAAGGTAAGTGTATTCTTTCACTACTAATGTAATATCAAATTAAAGCAAGAATAACCAACAGAATAGTGCTATTACTGCTCCAAAAAGTACCCAACTCTACTTGCTACGCTCTTGGGGTTGGAAATCACTTGTAAATTTTAATGCCTCCAAAACAAAATTGCTCTCATTTAGCTACCACCGAGATAATTTCCTGCCTGCCATTAGCCAAGAGAATGTCTCACTGTGCATTCTTGGCCTCACACTTTTGAACAACTTGAAGTGGAACAACTACACTGAATCAATAGCTGCATCTGCTGCAGGGAAAGTCAGTTCACTGTGTCATGCCAGAAAGTTTTTCTTGTCAGAGTCCATCTTACATATCTACAAATCTACTATTCATCCGTGCATTAAATACTGTTGCCATATTAAGTCTGGTGTCCCAGCCGTTCATCTCAAGGTTATTGACAAAATTTAAAGAAGGATCTGCTATGTAATCAATCTTGACTTAGCATCTCAACTCCAGTCACTTTCTCATAAATGGGATGTGGCTTCCCTCTGTCTTTTCTACAAATATTTTCATGGCAACCGTTCGGTCAAGCTTTTTTCCCTGGTTCCCCAACTACATAAATTTAAGTGTGCTACTAGATTAGCATCTAGATCCCACCATTTTACAATTGAAATAGTTAAATGTAATCGCCACTTCTACTCCAACAGCTTCTTTTCTCACACTTCCCGCCTGTGGAACTCCCTTTTGTTTACTTGCTTCTCTGATAACTACAATCTTCAAAAGTTTAAATGCAACATCAACTGCAATGTTCTAAACCCCATTCATCTTTTATCGTTCCCTTATTCCTTCTATACACAGTGTTTTCGCTCACCTTCACTCTATGTAACCTCCTTGTGAAGCAGTGGCACTCCCACTTGTGGTGAAATGCTTAAGGAAAAAAAAAGAGAGAGAGAGATAGATCAAACCAGAAAATGAAGTATTGCTGCCATATCTAGGTTTTAGTTTCCCAACCCCCACTTTCCAGGCTTGATAGATTTCAAAAATATCTACGCACCCTTGTATGGGATGAATTATTTTCCACCCTGCAACTGTTTCTTCATAGATGCAACATTGCAAGTCTCTTGTTATTCTATTGCTCATTGAATGGAAAATATTCTGATAATCTACATTCCCTAGTTCTACCAGTTCAGACCTTTACAGCTAAGACCAGCCATTCCATGTACACAAGGGCAAACCATGCTCATTCCCTTTGTATTCAATTGGTAAGAAGCTCTATTTGAACAGATTCTTCCCAACAGACTTCTGAGAGGATGCTTCCATGACTACTACCACCAGAACCACTTCAAGTCTAGGGTCAATAATTATTTATCCTACATATCCTCATAATATACAATTCTTAAATCCATAAAAGAATCCCATTCAGGAACCCTCTATCTTGAGTAGCTCTCAAGTGAACAATAGCATAAAAATTATCTATAATGTATATGCATTGGTAAGAATTTTACTAGAGGAAAGCATTACCAATAATTTTAATAGAAATATGGATTGTAAATGATTTTACTTTACCTTCACAGGGAATTGGAAAACTTTCAGGAGACCAAAATCATCTGCAGTTGCCAAGAGTTGTTTATCATTTGAGAGAGAGGTGGCATTAATGTCAGTTATATCAGATTTGCTAGGCCATATTCCTTCACATGTTCCACCAAGAACACATGTCCAACTTGCCCATTGCAACTTTTCAATTTCTGCTTGTCTCAGATTAAACCTTTTGCCTCTTGGTGCCTCAAAGAACAGTTGTTCTTTGGCACCAGTATTTACCATTATCACTTTGCCTGTAAAGCAAAAGGGATAAAAAATATTTTACTCATTCATATAAAAAAAGCAATTACTATAAACACAGAAGACTTACATTAATATAACTAGAGACAGAAAACTAGTTAAAACTGCAACATAATGACAATGCTCAATCTAATAAAATCAGTTAACCTATGAATAGCAGTTGGAGTTAATTTTTAACATAATAAAAAAATACAATTCAATTTTTATTGCTATACTTCATCTAAGAAAATGAGATATTTTCGAATTAATGCCTTGTTGGCAAGGCTGGAATACACCAATAACATTTTCCCAAAAGAAGCAGCATATAATAGATGGATGCTTGCAGACTGTACATGAAACCCGATGTTTGTCCAGTATGAACCTGACTAATGTTTGACTGCTGTGCTGAGCCAAGTATGAACCCAATCAATGTGTGCCCATATATTCAAGTATGAACCTGCTCAATGTTTGACAGCAGATCCAAGTATGAACCTGCCTCATCTTTGCCCGCGGATCCAAGTATGAACCTGACCCATCTTTGCCCGCGGATCCAAGTATGAACCTGACCCATCTTTGCCCGCAGATCCAAGTATGAACCTGACCCATCTTTGCCCACAGATCCAAGTATGAACCTGACCCATCTTTGCCCACAGATCCAAGTATGAACTTGACCAATGTTTGTCCACAGATTCAAAACCTGGCCCATGTTTGTCCATAGACAAGTATAATAAAAACAGATTTTGATATTAAATAACCCAATAAGGATTTATGTTTCAAATCCACCACTCCATCCCAACTCTTAAGACTTTTACATCTGTTAATACTATTAAATATATATTACCATAAATGTTCAGAATTTTCAAAAGGACAAGAATATAATTTTGGTGAGCTGAAAATGTGTCATGTTATATTTCACAGCCATAAAGAAAATTTACAATGTTAAATTAAATAGAAAAAGGATACATTTCTATTGCAATTAAAGACATTCATGTTTATGTTTCATAACTGACATGAATATTTTCACAGTGACAAATCACAAGGCAAATTCAAAAATAGTGTACCATAATGAAAATAAATTAGCCCAGTGTTATTCGATGGTAATGGTAATATTAGTTGTTTCCTTATAAGGAAACAGTTGGCATTCTTTAACCAAGCAGCCAGTAGTGTTGTTGGTTGAAATTTATTGAAAAACTTGGTAGAAGATGTTGATTTGTTTTTGGTGAAAATCCTTCTTATTTCAATTATGAGTGCCTATATCATATGTATAGCACCCCTACCCACCCTAAGTTATAGTACACTGGTTTTGGGAATAAAAGCAGGAATGGTGTTTTATGTTAGTAGATGAGTTTGTGATCTGGTATGGAATGCTTAAATGAAAATCTCAACCTAACAAGAATGCTTTTTTAAGAACATGAATAGAGCAAGAGTTTTCAGATTAATGTAGCAGTTTTGTAGCAATTTGCAGTGTTGGGTAAAACTACCCCAGCACAGACTATTCTATGTTTAATTGCCTTATCACTTATACAAAATTTGTTATAACCAATTCCTACACCAAAGTATTTGAAGTGTTTGGTATTTATTAATTCCACATCATGAGCTTTTATGATGGGATATATTGCCTATACCAGTAGTTCCCAAATATTTTCTCTGGGCCACATTTTTGGAATTAAAATTTTCTCACACCATACCAAAATTTATGGGATAAAAAGTACAAAAAAAAAACAAACACAGAGTGAGGGTTAAACAGAGATAACAATTCAAAGTCATTACATTATCATTGATAACTCTCTCCTCCAATTTGTGGACACTAGTTACTATATTCTTAATACTTGATATAATGTAAAAATATCACAATGATAAAATCGGTCAATAATTATTTATAACTATTTTTTGAATTGTTGGGTGTATTCGAATAAAGACAAACACAGTTGTAGGGATAAATACTGGTATATTTGTAAGAGGTAATTAACAATGGTGATTAGTAATAAGGAACGCTGGTTAGTAAGTAACAATAGCTAAAGTCTACAGTCCAACACTATGTAATGGTAACCTGATCTCGACTGCTGACGCTGAACCTGATCCTCGTACCAACACCCCTACTCTCTCTCTAGCACTGACTTATATCGTAGAGGGATCAGTCCATTATCAGTCAGAAGGTGGGTGTGCCGCAACACTATTTATACTGGGACTCCTGTATCGAGTTAGAAGTAATCCATAATAATATTTTAAATTTTGAAATCATATTTATTTTTGGCATATGAATTTTTTTAAACTGTTTCTAAATCTTTGAATGTCTTTTAATCATTCTACCTCACCTGCTATCTTCTTCTGTGGTGCACCACACTTTAAAAACCATAGGCATAAACAATGTTACATTTACACAATAAAAAATTAAACTAATGATGGCACATAATGATCACAATTGTTGGATACAATAAATCTATTGTCAAATGGAAATTTTTAACTCTTGTTTCTTGTGATTAACCGAGATCTCTACAAGTATGACATTAGCTTGTAAAGTTCTATTTGCAGAATGCTTACCCCATGTGACTTTGCAAAAATGGCACGGGGCATGGGTGCTCTTTACGCCTATAAATAGGCAATGATATTCTCACTGATCCTCTTTTACAGATCTGTATCTCTGGCTTTCAGATGTAGTCATACATAGATAGGAATGCTGCCAACAAGGCATATTCACTTCTTTGGTTCTCCTTTAACTTTGGAACTCTCTCTCTTGCAGACATATATAAAAGCACATTTTTCTTATATCGTTTTAATGTTTTTTCCTTTTGTTACAATTGTCTACACCTGTAATACCTTTTGTTAATACATGCATTGTCATTTGTTTTATATTTACTTTTTGTGTTACTCACATTTACCTGGACTCATATTGAATCTTCCAATATTATTTGTCCCAGGAGCCCATAAATATTTACTATCCAAAGTGTTGATTTCCACAACATAATGGTAACTAAATTTTAACAACCATACCACTACCATCCCACAACTATTTACATGCAGACTATTGTCTTCATCTTTGTAACTGTTATCACAATGTTGTATCATCAGATACAACAACAAAGATAAGGATAATAGTCCACATGTAAATAATGTTTATAATGTAAATAATAACGCATCACAGAAATTCATACAGAAAGTGATGTTGTCCTAAAATCCCAGGTAGAATACAATATTAGAATCATGTGATTGGTAAGGTTGTTGTGATGTCAGAAAAAAAAACAACTTTTAATTAAAACTCTGTTATATTTTAAAAGCAATTAATTTCTTACTTCTTACCAACAGTCACAGGATTTTAATAAATGAAACATGAACAGGCATACACAAACAAAATTTAAGCACTTTTCTTCAAACTGGTAAATGAAAACCAAATCATAAATGAAGGTTGAAGTACTGAAATCTAGATGCTTGTATTATTTATCTCTAAATGTGAAAAAAAAAAAAAAAAGGTACTAATTTTGTATTAATAAACAAAACAAAAAAATTTTTCCTGTCCATTTTGGATTTACAAAGATGAATGAACTTATTTAGAGATTCTTGATAAAATCCAAAGAATCTGCAATGTTATCAGTCCTGACCTGGCATCTCAGCTTCCATCACTTTCCCATCACTATAATGTATCTTCCCTGTGTCTTTTCTATAAATACTTTCATGGAAAATATTCTGATGAACTCTCCTCTATGGTAACTAGACTATGAATTTTAAGCACAGTACTAGATTGGCAGCAAGATCCCATAATTTTACAGTTGAAATGGCTAGATATAACCATATATTCTATGGTAATGGTTTCTTTTCTCACACTTCTCACTTGTGGAACTCTGGCTTCTTGATTCAAATCAAGTTTGAAACTTCAAAAATTTAAATGCTATGTCAATCATATTCTTCAGTTTTCTTAATTTCTGTTCATTTATTGCTCATGCTCCTTAATAATGTTTTTCTTATATTTTTCACACTCAGTAACCCCCTGTGTGTTAGTGGATTTATTGCCTTGCTTGGGGTGAAATGATTATAAAAAAACAATTAACAAACAACATTTATGTGTTTATTTTTTTTTTTTTTTTTTTTGCTTATCATAAACTAAGTTGAAATGCTTAATTATCATCTTCAAATCTCTGTTTGCAGTCCTCCTGTTCATCAACATCACCTAGGAAAAGCAGTGACAAAGTGGTGGCTGTAAGGCATGGAAGTTATAGTCTAAAGCAAGGGTCGGCAACCTATGGTCCGCGGACCAGATCCGGCCCGTGAAGGCATTTTGACCGGCCCACGAGCCTGATTACCAATGACTATTTTTAACATGAGAGACGACATTCAAATGAAATTTGTTATATGTCATTTTCCATAGAATGTCTACACATCTCAATGCATTAAAAATATTAGACTGTCAGTTATCTTTCATGAGACTTATTTTACCAAGTTGCGTTGCCTACTTTTACTGTCAAATAATGGATACATATTTGTTATGACCCTTGGCTACATTAAAAGATAACAGAAGTGAAAGGAACGATAAAGTGAAAGAGGCCAGGGAGGGACTGACATGCAAGGTAGCAGAAATCTAAAGACAGTTAAACATACACGCATTATACATACATGCGTCATGAATGTGTGGATGATACCGCATGTGTACGTACGTAAGTGTATATGTTTGCAACTATTTTTACTCGTATGTATGGGTATATGTGCTTCGTTTTTGTTTGATGTGTGTGTGTGTGGTTCATTTGTGGAACAATTTTCAATAACAGTTTCAAACCTACACGTCATAATTTCATCCATTTCACTTGGTTGATTTTTTTCACTTTGAAGTATTTTGGCGTTCCTTGAGGAAAAAAGTAATTTTTGTTAGGTGTTTTGAATTTTAGATTTTCTTTTGTTTTTCTGATTTCTCAATGTTTATTTTCATTATGGTTTTAAATATTTAGGTTGACAGGGGTCTGCATATGTAATTTTCATTAATTTTTCATTAATGGCCTTCGTCCAGACCGCGACCCATCATTATAACACGATCCAGCCTGTGAGGTCAAATGAGTTGCCCACCCCTGGTCTAAAGATTAAATAGATCAAAATAAATACTTATTTCTTAAACATTTTAATAGTGTTTTTATTATGCTACTAACAACTATAAATTATAATGTTAAAAGAGCTTTTGATTTTGGTACCGCTTAATGTGTTTAGTACAGTACCAGTATGAAAGGTTAGTCTGGAGACCTGATGTTAAGGCTGTTTTCAAATGACCTATTACAAATGACTGATTTGTCAGCTCTTTATCAATTGTTTAAACTTCAAAAGACACTTCTAAGATTTTCCTAACATTGTAAAGACAATACTGACAATGTTTGCATTAGCATAACAACTGAAATTACCAAAGGAGAATCAAACATACCTTGTTGATCCCAGTCAATGTGTGTGATATAACTGGAACTCCCTTTGCACGTTCCAACACGCTTGTTGCTCAGGACATTATAGATGTCAACAAAATTGTCATGAGATGCAACTGCCAAGTATTTCCCTGGAGCTAATTTATGAAAAAAAATAAAGAAAGAAATAAAGAAAATAATGATGAAATGGTTGTTTGAAAGAAGAGATCTTTGATGATTTAGGCATCTTTTAATAAGTTCATGCAAATGTCCTCAAAGAGCTTATTGACATTGTATAAGACATTTCAGAATGTACATTGACTGCAATAGTGAAATCATGACAAATTCAAATAATAGATGAGAATGTAACAAAAACATTCTAAAAGTTAAATTTTTACATAAAATGCATTATTTACAAATTATTTAAAAATATATGGAAAAGCCATTCTAAATAAAGGAAATAATTTCACTTTTTTCAATATTTAATTCACCAATTGAATAAATGAGCAACAACGAAGTTTGATAAAAAAGTGGAAACAAATAGGATATGTATACTTAGTATCAGAAAGTGACAGTTGAAATTTCTAGGGTAAATAATGAGAAAAGAGGGCTTGGAAAACTTGACATGAGCAGAATGTATTGAAGGGCAACAGTGAAAAAGACAAACTTGTGTAGAAGAGTTGGCAAAACAGGAATTAAGAGACCTAGCAAAAAGACAAACTTTACTAAGAACTATGAATGAGAGGAAGTTGTGGAGAGCTTTGATCACGCACATCCTGAAGGGATACATCACATGAAAAAAGTGTAAGAATGTGTGTAAATGTCTTTTGGTAAGATTAGGAGAATAGCAAAAGACAAACTTTACTAAGAAATGAATGAGAGGAAGTTGTTTCTTTTGATCCGCACATCCTGAAGGGATACATCACAGAAACCCAAAATGACTGGAACAGAGATTAAGAGAGATAGCAAAAAAGACAAACTTTACTAAGAACTAAATGAGAGGAATTTGCTTTGATCACGCACATCCTGAAGGGATACATCACAAACAAAGTGTAAACCTGAAGGAACAGAGAACTGGAGAGATAGCAAAAAACAAACTTTACTAAGAACTATGAATGAGAGGAAGTTTAAACTGTATATCACATCCTGAAGGGATACATCACAGAAACAAAGTGTAATCAAAATGACTCTGGAACAGATTTAGAGATTAGCAAAAGACAAACTTTACTAAGAACTATGAACAGAGGAAGTTGTGGAGAGCTTTGATCAATCCACATTCTGAATATTATAAAATTTGAGCTTATATAAATGATATATACAAACACAGAATTTACTAAGAACTACAGAAAAAACAGGAAATTGTGTAGAGCCATGATCACCCAACATCCTGAAGGGATACAGCATAGAAAAAAAAACAATACTATTATATATCAAAATATTATATATATATATTATATATATATATATATATATATTATTTTTATATCTCCTAAATCTTGTTCCACAATCTATTTACTCAAGTGTACTGCATAGTTTTGCATTTTCTTTTGTCCCACTTGCCTTTAATCCATCCTGTGAGTATCAAATTTTCAAAGCCCTCTTTCCTCAATATGAGCCTTTGAAATTTCAGCTCTTTTTGATGTTAAATATAAGAATCCTTTTTGATTCAGTTTTCTTTAAAACTTTGTTCATGCACATATTTTTGGTTTATTTATTCTCAGCATTTTTCTGCAAACCCAAATTTCTGTTGCTTCAAATCTCATCTTCACCTTTCACAGCTATATAGGTGGACTGATATTACATAACAGTTCAGTACTCTTTCCTTTGTATCTAATGTGATTTTCTTGTTTCATAATACTTTGCTTAACATTTGGAAGGCACTTTCACTATTTCAATGCACTTTTTGGTGTCATATTTTCCGCCATCTATTTAAACACTTCCCAGATATTTAAATTTTCATACTTGCTTGATTTAGGCATTTTTTCATGATGTTAGACATTCGCTCATTCTAACCTTTGTTAGATCAATGAATGTTCATTATCATGTTCATAATGCTTGTTGTATTCAAGACTTTGGAACTGCAGATACTGGTAGTAGTAACACCTTCAAATAATACTCGCACTAATAATACTCATTCAAATAGTAATTTGTATAACAATCGGAAATAGTATAGTGGATAGTATAGAGAATAGTGATTACTTAGACGTCACACTAATTCCCATTTATACATTTCCTTTACGATCATGTGATCTACTTATTTAATAATGGAATTGTCCGTGTTTTCTCACTGATGATCTCTGTTCAAACTACAGTGTTGGCAACAACACTTTATTCCTATACAACACATTTCCAATTTGTAATTTGCATATTAGGTTGTTCCTCTTACTGACAACTATACATTGTTTTTTGTTTTTTTACAACAGATAGTCTTTTCTTCTTACTTTCCTTTATTACCTTCTGTAGGAGTTTCTGTAGTTTTCTTTCTGTATCTGATATCAATGCTGTGTCATCTACAACCATTAACTGCCAAATTTTTTTAATGTGCATTTTTGGCCCAGATAGGTGTCTTAGGAGTTTATTTATTCCTTATGTTTAATTTCAGTAGTTACCATTGTTGTCTTTATAGAAACTAGAAAATCAAATATATATGTATATGAAACATCAAAAAATAATATTGATTAGAAATAAAAAAAATACTTTTCAAAACAGTCATTATTTTTCTACTCGTGAAATCTAAAATTATGACAAAGTGTCTTCTTATGGCAAATAATAAAAACTTTAAAGGCTGAGTGTTGTAAAATATACCTCTGCAAATGCAATGTATGTAAGCAATTCAATGTAAATACAAGGAATAACATGTAGTGAGTTTAATTTTAACAGATCCCCAAATGGGGCTGATGGCAGGTAATGGGTTAATAAAAAGAATGATTGATAAAGAAACTAGCCTCAAACAAAATTTGTGCTGACAACCCAACTTTTGGGAAGTTTGCCTGATATGAACAACAATTGACTGATTAGAGGAACATATTTACTAAAATGGAAATCATACAGACAAGTCATAAGTTTCGCTTTTTTGATTGATAATTATTCAGTTAATGTTTGAATTGGCAAGAAAACTACTTTCTGATAATCTAATGACACTCCCATTATCTGCCATTTTAATTAATACTTTTACTCAGGCATCTATACAGACAACACTACTATTTACTCCTGCCTCAAAAGCAAATCTGGTATTGCTGACAAAACTAACCTGGCCGTTAGTCTCAAAAAGGACCTCCAATCAGTTGTAGACTGGGGCAGGAATTGGCTGGTTAACTTTAATGCCACAAAAACAAATCTGCTCTCTATTACTCACCACAGGGAACCATCCCTGCCTCTCATTAGAATGTCTAATGCTCAACTCCATGAGAGCACCTCTTTACGACTGATTGGTCTCACACTGTCCGCTGACCTGAGATGGAACAAATACATTGAATCAATAGCTTCATTCACTACAAGGAAAGTTGGTCCCTGTGTTGTGCCAGAAAGTTTTTCTCATCCAAGTCCATCCTTCAAATTGTATAAACGAACCATTCACCCTCGTATGGAATACTGCTGACATATATGGTCTGGTACCCCTGCTGTTCATCTTAAGGTCCTCAACAAGACAGATATGCAATGTGTTTGGCCCTAATCTGGCATCTCCTCTACAGTCACTCTCTCACAGAAGTGCCATTGCCTCCCTCTGTCTTTTCTACAAATACTTTCACGGTAACTGCTCTGACAAGCAACTTTCGCTAGTTCCCAGACTGCATAAATTTAAACATGCTACTAGGCTGGCATCTCAGTCCCACCCTTTCACTGTCAAAACAGTTAAATGTAGCTGTCTCTTCTACTCCAACAGCTTCATGTATCGCACCTCCCATCTGTGGAATTCTCTTCCTATTACTTGTTTCCCTGATAGCTATAATCTCCAACTATTCAAATGTAATGTCAATCAACATCCCCAGATGCCTTGATCTATTCCACATCCTTCTCTTCATCCTTTCCTCTATCACGCCTTTTTATTCTTGCTCCCACTCTCTGTAACCCCTAACGTGCTAGTAGCATCTCACCTTGCTTGGGATGAAATGTTTAAAATAAAAATAAAAAAAATAAAACTCTGGTGGATGAACTTTATTTTGAAACCCAACCTGTCTGCTGCTGACATAGATCAAAGAGATCACATGCTCCAAAGACTTCACATAGCCTGCAAACAAGTTCCACCTTCTCTATCCATTCAACTTTAAATTGAATTTGGAGTCTGTCATTGTCCATTAATTCTCTTGAGATTCACTATTGTTGCTATGTAAAATGACTTACTTTATTAACACATTCAATGTTGCATTGGATATTTGTACACTTATATGTCATCTATTTTAAGTATTGTTATATAAGATTACTTATGCTTAAAACTTTCTGTTGTAAAGTAGCTAGCACCCCTTCAGGCACATAACCTTAAATAGTCTATGATTAAGGACTTCAACAGTTGATTAATAAGTTGATTAATAAACTGATTAATATTCAGACTGATCTTACTTCATTTAGCTATACAGCATTTGACCCTCCTCTATTCCTTGTAAGTTGTCTTGTTAATTGTTTTGTAAGTTATTGTTATGCATTTTTTTGTATGTATCCATTAGCACCAGATACTGGTGCTGGATAAATATATTAAGCACTCATTCTTCTCTGTATATCATTCACCTCGATGATACAACACTTTCATTATTTCAAACTGATGTTCCCATCTATATTATTATAGATACTGTTATAGACAACATTTTGGCCAAGTACCCTCTGACCATCAACAGGTGTCCCTTATTTGTGTTATAGACAAGCGTATGGTTGCAAGAAAGAAATACGACAACAACAGAAATAGATTTACGTGGTTTATTTCAACAGGAACGTGTGGGTTTGGGACAGCTACCTTGTGGTATAGTTCATAAGCCGGCTTCGGATCTGGTCGATCTCTCATAGTAGTTCACACATGTTGACGGTGGTTGACGCTCCCCTGCTGCTGATCGTTCGGCTTGACCGTCAGGTCTGTTCGCTGACCACCTGTTGACTGACTGTTGAACTTCCGTGTGACCCCTTTTATAGCGTTTTTTATGGCTTAACAGGCTCGAGAAATGAAGCGAGT